ATGAATTGAAGTTCCACAAGTTTTGGCTGCAGCCTCTCCCACACAGCATTCGCCAAACTCGACACCATGTTCTCAATTGAAGATCGAGCTGAACTGTTGCTCGGCAGTGCAGCACCACCACCTAGGAATGTCTGAAAGCATTCCCCAACAGCCATCTCACATGCCGTCATCATCGGAAGTGTTGGGTTTGCTGGCGCCGGCGGAGGAAAGGCAGGTTGAACTGGATGTGTTGCTGCCAGACGTGCATCCCTTGGATGTAACGGACGAGACTTGGGCGGATCTTTCGGTTCCGGCACACCCTCTGGAGAATCAACCTCAACCACTGGCGGCTTTGGCGGCTTTGCAGCCGGCTTTTTCGGCTTTGCAGGCATGCTTTTCGTAAGAGGTGCTGGCTTTGTTTTTGCCGTTGCCCCTACTTCTGCTGATGCCAATTTTTTTGCTGGCGGTCTTGCTTTTGGTGGTGCTCCTGCTTTTGGTCCTGCCCCTGGCTTGTCTGTTGATGCTGTTGCGCTGGCTTTTGTTTTTTTTGCTGGTGATGCTTTTGGATCATTGGTCCACTCTGGAGCGGGCACTGGTGGCCTGGCAAAAGCCGGAGTAGCAGAACTGGAGGATGCAGGATCACCACCCCCTCTTGTGGCGTCATCGACATCTGTCTCCGGGATCTCAAGCGGAGCAGTTCGTGCTCTTTTGGCATCTGGCAGCACCTCAAATGCTTTGCATTGAAGACGACACACACACACACACACTCAATTGAGGATGTCAATTGTGACTGAAATGTTATTATTTATTCTTGAAGCTGAAGCGAAAATGTAGTGTTGCTCCCAGCTGCTGCTGCTGCAGCAGTTCCTCTTGACTTCGTCTTCTGATTTCGCTTCTGAAGCTTCTGAAATGTCCTGGCAGGTAGGTCCACGGGATGTTCCTGCTTGTCCTTGACCATTCTTGTTTTCAAGTTCCTGAGTCAAAGTGGTACGTGTTGGCACTACAGGGCAGACTGCAAATCAAATCAATGCGGAATTCGAGTCCAGGCACATCTGAATGGAAGCCCAATCAGTCTGATTTGCAAATTGGTCGGTCCATGTGGTCCAAGCATTTTGCAATGCTGCCTTCCATTGATCCGACGACCAACCAATGGACGGCAGGAGATGCTTCTGCTTCCTGATGCACACTTTGGCAGAACCATGGATTGCATTTAAATATTTACATATTACAACCTCAAAACAACATTCGAAAATCTGAAGCTGCTCAGCGACACGTGATGGCCATTGGCGAAGTCGATAATGTGCTGTTGATCGGCAGCGATGGCTCTGTAATCTTCCTTTCTGTGCCTCTGGACTAAAGTGTCGAACCATGCGACGCATTCGATGCCACAGACCTGCACTGACAGCTGATATACTTACAAAAACTAGACAATTGAGTGTCACCTGGACCAATGAGTCAGTTCAGCACAGCGACTTGGAAGAGAGCCATGACCAACGCAATCATGGCACACGTCCTGTGCCATCCCGCCGAACAGCAGATCCTGACAATTGAAGGACCACATAGGAGGGTTATAATTATCCTAGTCCCTGAACCTAAAAAAAACCTCCAAGACCTTCAGCATTCAAAGACTCGAGAAGCCTGAGCAACTTGTCGGGAAAATTGAGGATGAAGTGGAGCGTCTTGAGCGCTGCGGGATGACGATACACCTCGGTCATTAGGGTGAATTCTTATTAAAATTAAAATTAATTATTATACAACTCGATTCATGAAGCAACACCTGTTCGACCAGGCACCTGTTCCATGATATGCTGGTATAGGCCACATTCTCTGCCAAACCTTCCTCCTTCGGCCTCCCTTGGCTTCCATCCATGACTGTCACTGTCACTGCCCTCAATTGTCAATTGAGTGAAACTGAAATGAATGAAAAATGTACAAATGTCATGAAGCTTCGACACGTGCATTGACTGCTGCAAGCGAACCTCCCATTTGTTAGAAAAGTTACATTCCCTGTCCAACCTCTCCAACAAGTCTGCCATCTGAGGTGATGGACGATTTCCATGGTGGGCAACCCCATAACCAACGATCACCACTCTCTTCGGCCAAACGTAGGTTCTGCCGCCCAGGAAAACTGACCTCGAAGTGTTGGAGCAGAAAGCAGCTGCCGAAGAGCTCGGGTTGTCAATAGAGCTCACATCGTCATCAGTAGCATCAATAGCCGGTTCGTGGTCTCTTGTTTCTCTCGGGGTCCTTCCACTTGCGTCCCCAATCGTCCGAGTCGTCTTCTTCTTTGCCCCGCCCCAAGTCACCGGAACTTTTCGTTGAGGCGTCTGCGGCTTTCTTGCTGCCGTAGTTCCCGACATCGAATTGGCTGTATACTATCCCCAAGCTTTGATTGTGCCTCGAATGAACACGGAATTGTAATGATGAAAGCTTAAGCGCCAAAAAAAAGGGCTGCATCAATCTTTGCCAAAGTGCTCTCTAACGTTCTTGTTACAGGCTGACAGAATCCAGGCTTCTGGTTTCTGGATGCCGTCTCTTCCCCGTTTGAAAGATCTCCTCAAATGTTGTTGCATTGAAACAATGACATGTCAGGTAGCAAATTATTCTCAATTGGAAATTGTCTGAAATGTACTGCAGGTGTCACAAGATCACCAGCCTTTCTCGGGCAGAGCAAATAGAGCAAGTAGATTGCTTGCTGTGCTTTCCGGAGATCCTGGCCCTGCTCCTCGAGACACAATTCCTCAGGGAGATGCTGGAGGGCCACACTCGACATAGCACAACTTGAGCCAGAACTGCAGCATTAGGTTACAAGGGGCTCACAATCAATCACCAAGCAAGCTGACACACACACACACACACACACACTCACTGAGCCTTCCGCGCAAATATCACTCACATGCCTTCTGAAACGACTTCACCTGGCAAAATGCAAATTTCATGCCAGCCCTGCCCCCCCCCCGGCTCTGTCAAAACATGCCAGGCAGACCACTTGAGCCAGAACTGCAGCATTAGGTTACAAGGGGCTCACAATCAATCACCAAGCAAGCTGACACACACACACACACACACACACTCACTGAGCCTTCCGCGCAAATATCACTCACATGCCTTCTGAAACGACTTCACCTGGCAAAATGCAAATTTCATGCCAGCCCTGCCCCCCCCCCGGCTCTGTCAAAACATGCCAGGCAGACCTTGCCATTGATGCTACCACAATAGTTATACTACCGCAAATCATGCTACCACAATTAGCGCTACCACAATTGTTGCTACCACAATTGACAAATTGATGCTACCAGAACTGATGCTACCAGAATTGATGCCACTGCAAAATCGAATCAACCAAGCCAAGCAATGCCATGCTGACTACCACAGTTGCTGCTACCAGAACTGATGGTATCAGAATTGATGCCACCGCAAAATCGAATCAGATGCCACCGCAACAATCGAAGCAATCAAGCCATGCAATGCCATGCTGACTACCACCATTGACATTGATTGATGCTACCAGAATTGATGCCACTGCAGCATCGAATCAACCAAGCCAAGCAATGCCATGCTGACTACCACCATTGACATTGATTGATGCTACCAGAATTGATGCCACTGCAGAATCGAATCAACCAAGCCAAGCAATGCCATGCCGACACAGTAACGGCCTCCCCAGCGTCTTTGCAAACACGAGTGTGCTCTGACAGTCATGCGGACTGGAGACTTCTTTAAATGCCACCCCCATTCGGCCAAGATGGGGTCACCCTGCTGAGTATGCGCCGGCTTTGCCCTATGCGGAGCGCTGAAATCCAATTGCCTTGCATACCGGCCCGCAAGAGGACAGGTCATGCTCGTCATCGAGTGCACCGGAATCGCTGCGCAACGCGCCGGTTACTGAAGACCTGTCAATGAGGCACAGCATAAGATGCCATGCGGGGCCATGCCGGCAAGCAGCAGTGATCGAAGTTAATATTTCGACCGTGGTGTGGGTACGTGGCATAGTATTTATTAATAGTAGCGAGGCCTTCCCTGCAATCTGTGTGCATTTCACCCCGCGGCGGACACACCACCTGGCTGGACAGGCGAGCAGCACACAGAGTAAATCCCCAGCGCCCGGCCAGCGACGCTGTCCCGCACGGATCAAGGACCCATTGCTCACGTGGTCCGAGCCCGACTGGAGCGGTCTCTAAGACCACTCTGAGCTTGGGCGTGCAGGATGGGTAGGGCGAGTCGAACCAAGCCAAGCAAGCCAAGCAAGCCAAGCAAGCCAACCAAGCAACCAAGCCAACCAAGCAGTGGCACGTGACAAAGGACCACGTTTCAGCTTCCAACACATCCGGCTTGGACAGAAGCGAACACCATCGCTCAATACATCCGGCTTGGACAAATGCAAAAATGTTTGGCAAAAAAGGGTTTCCTCACGCTGGCTTCCCAGTGTGCTTTAAAATGTTTTGGTCAACGGCCGTGCCCCCGGCACTGAAATTCCTAATAAAATACATAAATAAGCTAATACTACAACAGCTTGAAACCTTAAATCGGTATATTGAACTGCACTATTGAGGAAATTGGTTTTGGCCTTCAAACCCCCCTGATCCAGCCCCCAAGGATCCAACCCTCAAAACGAGTGTGTGGATTTATGGTTTAGGAATTCAGATCGGATTTTGAGCCCTTTCAGAAGAGCGTTGTATTCAGAGCGCAGCTACGAGGTCGCCTTTGAAAGAAGTTGGGGCTGCCGGGAGTTCGACACCCCTGAGACCCTGAGACAGTAAATGCAAGGTTTAGGGTGTAGGGTTGGGGTTATAAAATTTGGATTCGGGTTTATGCTTTAGGGCTTCGAATTGTCACTTAGCGTGTAGGGTTGACTAGACTTTAGCGTTTCGGTCCGAGCCTACACGGGGCAACGCCGTTGCTCTCCCCAGGGGGAGAGTGCTGATCGGGCCATGGCTTTTTCGGACACTGGTTCTTCAGACTGTCAGTATTCTCGTGAGTGGAGACGTTTATCAGTCTTGTCAGATGAGGCGTTGCCCCACATGCTTGGCACTAAGCAGAATTTTCTGGTTGAGCCTTTCGGCCCTTCTGTGTCGGTGGATGATGGCATTCTTTCCAGGGCTTGGGTTGCCAGGAAGGATCCTACGCCCTCCCCTTCGAAGGTCGTGCTGAAACTGAGGCACTCAGACTGGCATGTTTTGGAGGACTCCATTGGTGTCCTGAAGTTCATTCAGGGCCAGGTCTTGCAGACAGAACCTGACTTCCTTTTGGACTGCACTGCCACACACACAGCAATTGTCAGTACGGCTGCTCTTTCGCAGGGTACTTGCATCAGTTTGGTCGAGTTGTTCTCAGGGGGCTTTGCAGGATGGTCTCAGGCTGCCTATGTTCTTCATCGCGCAAAGGTACCAATACATGTCTCATGGACACTCGACGTTGCGGCCGAATGTGAGCCTATGCTTCAAGTGCAGTGTCCTGAGTTGCACTGTGTCTCTGCACCGGGGGATCTTGCTGAGATACTGTCTGACACGCCTGAGCAAGTGCATTTATGTGCAAACATTGAACATGATTGGTGGTTGTCGGCCTTCTCCAGTCGTCCGGCTCACATTGTCACGCTCTCCCCTCCTTGTCAGCCTTGGAGTGAGGCAGCTGCAGGGCCAGGCCTGGCCTCGAGTGATGGCCAGTTGATGTTAAGGGCCGCCGATGTCCTAGGGGCCATTGAGACTCCAGTTGTGCTTCTGGAACAGGTCGCAGGATTCGCTCGGCACCCACATGCTGATATTGTGATTCGGGCATGGCAGGAAGTCGGATACGTAGTTCACTGGCGGGCAATGCTAGATTTGCTGGATGTGCTTCCCAGCTCACGCCAACGCATAATCTATGTGCTGCGTCACCGGCGCTGTCATGGGCCCTCGCCCCTGCAGGGACACCGTTGGGCTCAGGTCTGTCGGCACAATCTTGCCACGGCCCAGGTCCTGATGGATCTCCCGGTTGATATGCTTCAGCCCCTCATCCTTAGCCAGGAGCTCGAACAGATCTACTTTGATCCCTGGTTCTTGCCTCCCACACGCAGTGGCTCTGTGCATCGCCAGTCACCCAAACAGTTTCGAGTCCGCACTGCTGCACATTCCGCGGGCTGCTTCCTTGCCCAGTACCAGTTTCAGCATGAATTGTCTGAGCACCAGTTGTCCTCTAAAGGGCTGCTGGGTTTCTTGCTGCTACACCAAGGCGTTGTCAGATTCTTCTCCGGGGCTGAGGTTGCGGCCATTCACGGTGCTGTTAAACCAATCTTGCTTGAGCAGGATCGCCGCTGCCAGATGAAACTTTTGGGCAATGCTATTGCTGTGCCGCAGGCTGTGGCAGGGCTCTCCTTTGCTTGCCAGGCTCTTGGAGTTACCGGCGTTCCTGAACCCGCGGCCGCTGTGGCCTTGAGTCTACGAGAAAGGATTACGAATACCAATGCACTCTTTTTGCCGGTGGGATCGGACTGGGTCCTTTGCCGCAAGGATCAGGTTGAGTCGGTTCTGGGTAGTGCGGTCTTCCGGGCGAAAGGTACTGCCTTCCCCACCGCACCTTCTGATTTGGTTCCCCTGACCTTCCATTGCGCTCAGGAGCAGGTTGTTATACATGCACCGGCGGGGCTGCCGGCCTTGCGAGTCTTTCGCCACTTGGGCATTGCGCATGTGGCCGCCTCCTTGCCCGACCACCAATTTGACCGACTGGAGCCAATCGACCTGCAGGTCGACCAATTGCCTGCCCTTGGATTGTATGGGTTCCAGACTGACAATCCTCATCCGGACGGACTGTGCACGGTCCTTGCCTCCTCAGGTGCTTATGTCATTGATACAAAATCCCCCCGGATGTGGCCGCAGCTCCTTAATATCTTTGACTCCCTTAGTGCTACTGAGGAAGACCTGCAGTGCTGGAGCCTTGAAGGCAGGAAACTCCAATTTGCTGAGGATTTCGGGCAGTGTATGATTGCCACAACCATTGATAGGGACGCGCCTGAGCTTCCCATGAGCCTCCTTGGGCCCATGCTTGGCCGATTGCGCACATCACAACTTGAGGATGGGGTCAACATTAGATGCCCGGTGCCGGATGCCACTGCTCTGTGGTTGGGTTTCCCTTTCCACCTCGTCCTCGCATTAGGATGGGACACGCGTGTGCTGCACTTTCCTCCTGAGCCACCGACGCCAATGACACTCAGCCTGCAGCCTGTTGAGTCCAGAATCCACTTGCAACCGTCGTTGCTGCCCTACCAGCTGCGACATTGGTTCCTACGTGCAAGCCTGCAGGCCCTTGCCAACCCTGATGTCCAGGGGCCAAGTATCGATGTCGAAATACAGGTTGAAACTAGGACAATCTGGTGCGGCTCGTTGCCGGCACAGCTCACTGTACATGGCCTTGAGCAGATGTGGCAAGCAGCCTCGGGTGCTGCTGGTATTGTCCCAGGGGTTCGTGTTTTCTCCGGGCCTCACCCGTTGCAGTTGCACTTGAGCCTGGAGGACATTAAAGAAAAGGCCTCTCTTCGTGTGATGCGCCGAACAGGCCGCCTGTTGATGACCTTCCATCCACATTGCGCAGGCGGCGGTGCCAAGGACGAGGGCAAACACTGGGCGCAGACCAAAGCTGCTTCTCTCTGCCTCTCCCAGGGGTTTGATCTTCGCACTACCACTGCATATGTTGATGCAATTTCCCAGAAAGGCAGCGCTAACCGCATCCTCCAAGCTTTGCAGGCTACCTCTGAGGACTCACGATGGGCGCAGCTTTCGGCGTATGCCAGGGAACTTGACATTACTGTGCCTCAGCCTACTAGCCTGGTTGCCAGGGCCGAAGCTCGGGCACGTCGCAACCAGACAAAACGTAAACCTGGAATCATGCCGGTACCAAAGGCCTCTGAGGTCAGTGTTAGCCCCGGGTTTTTCGTCAACGAAGATGGCACTGATGCTCAGGTCCTTTCAAACATCCGCCCTGGTGCCACAGGTGTATGGTTGGTTGATGGTGACCAAGCGGCCGACGCTCTCAACACATTGACCGGAGTGCAGCCCGATGAACTTGGGGTTTTAGTGCTAGGCCATGTCTGCCCAGACCCGGCTAACTGCTCCAAGCGCCTGTCGTTCCCTGCCAGCAGTCGCAGTGGTGGTTCAAAGTTGCTCCTGGCTGGATGCCTCCACAACGTTGGCGGCAAAGCTATCGGCACCTCCAAGCAAGCTGACTACAAGGTCGATCTTCCGGACATTTTGTGCTGCACCTTCGTTGCCTATTCCGATGAGTTTTCTCCTGATAGATGGTCCCAGCTTGTGCAGTCGCCGGTTCGATGCATGCTTGCTGCCTTTGAGGAAACACAGACTGCTAAAGCAGTCACTGCGCCTTGGGGCCGTATCTTTAAGGCCAGCGGAAAGCCTTCACCGCCGAACCTTGCTGATCAGGTCAGCTTTCAGGCGCGTGTTACTGCTCAGGAGTGCGATCAGCTGCTCCTTGCCAGCGGCCACAACAGCATTTACATTACCCCTCGCAAGCTTGATCACAGCCTGGTTTCAGGGTACGCCATCATTTGGCTTGGCCCATCACGCCCTGAAGCACTGAAGGCCGCATTGCAAATTCAAGATCAACGTGGGCTCGTACGTGCCAAAGGCCGGTTCGGCCTCAGGGTCCCGGAAGCACGACATGATGCTATTTATGCTCAGTTGCGTCCTGGTCAGCCGGTCCCAGCCAAAATTGCAGTGAGCTCCCTGTTTCGCATAGGGCCTATCCCGACTGAGGCTGATGCCAGCGCCCTGTGCACGCGGGCCAATAAGTTCGGCTGGCCCATTCGGGCCATTAAAGCACTTGGACCGTGCCATTGGTTGATAGGCAGCGCGAAACATCCACCACTTGCCTGGCCTCTTTTCAACGGCCAAACGGTGTTGATCAACCCAGTCCAGCAGCGGGCTCCAACTGCACCCATTGTGCAATCCGGCACTTTTGCGCCCAGCCATGCTTCAGCGAGTACGCCGAGCCATGCTAAGGTCACCGGCCCTCCGACACATGAGCACCCGTGGCTCCTCTCTGATCCTTGGAGTGCTGCACAGTCGCAGGCCTCTACCCCTGCCAGGACAGTGTCATCGACCCTCTCCGCTCCCAGTCCTGCTGTTGCCAGGTCCGTCACTGGCCCAACTGAGCAGCGTTTTCAGCAACAAGATGCCAGGATCCAAGCACTCGAGCAGGGCCTCCGAGACCTCCGGTTGCAACATGAACAAAGCCACGACGAGCTCATCCAGCAGCAAGCCGCTGACCGAGAAGCCACGCAACGGACCACCACGGGCCTGCAGGAGCAAATCTCCTCTGTTGGCACGGACCTTACACGTCAGCTGCAGGCCTCTTCTGATGCATTGCAACAGGCACAGACTCTGCAACAGCTCCAGATGCAGTCGTCCTTAGATGAGCTCAAGGCCCTCTTTCTTGAAAACCGTGAGGTGCGTGCTGGAAAGAAGGCCAAGAAAGATACTGAAAATGATGAAAACCTGTGACACATGCGGCGCCTGCGTGGACGGGCCATACCTGGTTTGGCCGAGGTACTTGTATGCTCGGCAAGTTGGGGCGGTACTCTTCAACCCTCGGTTCGAGGGTGCCAAGGGGTGCCTGTTAGTTCCTTTTCGTCTGATGTGCCCAGTGATATGGCCTGGCGGCACTGTGGCCGCCCAGTTGCTGCAATCCGAGCCCTGAGCACAGGGGTTGTCGCCCGGGCTCCCATTGCCTTCTCAATTTCAGTTTTTTGCGGCCGGCCTTTTGCCTGCCCCACAGTGTCCCATTTGCCGGGTGCTGGGGATTGTATCCTGCATCTTGGCACTGTGCTTTTGCCGAGGATTGTCTTCCGTCGTGTCCGCAACCACGACCATTTGAAAGGTTGTCGTGTAGGAGAGGCAGCCAATCCAGGCCCTCTCTGCCAGCAGTCGTTGACTTCCCTGTGGGGCGCCCCTTCGTCCCCACTGCGCCCTCATGCTGCTACGCCAGGTGCGTCCCCGCCTTCAGGCCCTGCACCGCCTTCGAACACATCTGAGGCTTCTGTGACCGAGCCCGTTGCTGGCTTCACACCCCTGCGCCTTGCAGTGGTGAATCCCACTGCCATACTCAACAAGGACCGAGACCTTCTTGCCATGCAACAGGACGTCCTTGTGCTTTCGGAAACTTCAGCCACTGAACGGGCTCAGCGAGTGTTTTCTTCCAAGGTCCGCCCACACGGTTACCATATGGTCTGGAGTAAGCCTGTGGCTCCACATGTATCTGCCCGGGCGGATACCACGTCTCTGCGAGGCCATGCTGCCGGTGTTGCCCTCCTCTCGAACAAGCCTGCCCGCACGGCCTTTGCACCGTTGCCTGCAACAGTGAAAGAGTCCTCCAGGCTGCTTGAAGCACATTTGCGGATTGGCCAGTCTGAGCTGCGCATCTTTGTCATGTATGGTTACCCTGCCAATTACCATGATTCGGGGGCCCGTAATGGCCAGCTGTTACGGACTGTACTGTCTAGGGTGCAGTCTTGCCGCATACCGGCCATTATTGGAGGTGATTTCAATACTCCTGTTTGCGCTGCGCCGGAGTTCGCGGAGCTCCAGCACTTGGGGTACGTTGAGGCGTTTCAGCATTGGCAACAACGCGAGGGCATTGAGCTTCCACCTACTTGCAAAAATGCAACCCGCAATGATACACTGCTCATTCCCGCGGAATTGCTGCCGTGTCTTCACAGCCTCCAAGTGGCGCGGGACCTGCACGCCTTTGATGCGCATGCGCCACTCCTTGCGGAGTTTCGCCTACCAGGTATTACCACTGGCCCACGTGGTTGGCGCATGCCAAGGACTTGGGCCCCCCTGCTGCCCGACACTGCGGATCTGGAAGCTGCTTACGTTGCGGTCAGGCCCCGGCTCGCTGCCCAACTGGATTCCTGCCAGACAACTGATGATCTTGATCATGCCTTTCAGTCTTGGGCTGATAACGTTGAGACTTCCGTTGATACTACTCTTCGGAAATGTCATGCCAGCGACCCGCTCGACTGCCCCGTTGGCCGCCTGCCACGGGCAGCCCGCGGACGTTGCCGATATCGGCCCCTGCAATGTAAGGCTATGCCTCGATCCGCCCCGGCCGCCCGAACTGGGGATTACCAACCTCCTGAGGAGGCTGTTACGGTTGTTTCCCGTGCCAAGGTCAAGCAGGTACGCCGTCTGCAAACCTTTCTGCATGGTCTCCTCAAGCTTGCTGCCCGGCCCACCTCTGCAACAGAACTTCAGCTGCAACTCCGGCAGGAATGGCACGCCATTTCTAAGGCTCGTGGCTATGCACCTTCATTTGCACTCTGGCTTCTCAAATGCCCGGCGTTTGTCAGCTACTGGCGGGATCTACCACCAATCGAGTGGACCAGGGATGTTTTGCAGTATGTCCAGTTTGACGCAGACGCAACCGTGCGTCAAGAGGCCGCCTACCGGGCCAAACTTGCAAGGTTACAGGTGCACCAGGATGCCCAGCACTGTCACTCCCGTGGAGGGTTCAAGAACCTCCGGCCTCACCCTCGGCCGCCGTTTACCAGCATCCCACACTGTGAAAATCAGAAAGCTGAGCTTGTTCGAATGGACTCGCCCTTCGTTGGCCTTTACCGGGTCCCTCTGCCCGACTTCGTGCGCATTGGCCCTCCCACCTTCTTTGAGGATACCGCGGTGCAGGTCATTGGCAAGGTTGTCACTCCAACTGACGATTGCTTCTTGCAAGTGAGGGTTGACGCCGAGGTTGGCCCCGCGCAGACTCGACTCATCCAGCATTCTTGTGCAAGCACACCGCGGGAGCTCCAAAGGGTTTTCGTTGAGTATTGGAGCGCCATTTGGCTGCGCGATAAGGGGGACGTCCGTACTGATCCCAATCGGTGGCGTACCTTCTTGTCTTCCCTGCCTGATGCTCCAGAAACGGCCCGGGAGCTGCATATTGACCTCAGCGATGGCCGCCTCTGGCAAAAACAGATCCGCCGTCTGCGTAACGGCCGGGCCACGGGATATTGCGGTTTCAGCCCGGAGGAACTCAAGCGTCTCCCTCCCACAGCTGTGGATGATCTGGCCTGCCTATTTAAGAAAATTTCTAGCTGTGGATTCCCGCGACATCTCGCTCAGGCCACGGTACACGTGTTGGCCAAAGTGGACACACCGCAGAACATTGGTCAAGGGCGGCCAATCACAGTCTATGCGACCATCTACAGATTGTGGGCTAGCGTTGCGGCCAAAGCCATCTTGCGCCACTGGGCCACGTGGCTGCCAGCAAGTGTGCGTGGGTGCGTGCCCGGCAGGGGCGCACGTGAAGTGTCGCTTGCAATTGAAATTATGATTGAAGAAAGTTTGCTTCACGGGCGGCCACTAGGAGGGTTCTCGTTGGATGTCGTCAAACGCTTCAACCAACTTCCGCGTCTCCCCCTGCGGCACCTGCTCGGTCATCTCGGCGTGCCCGCTGACATACTTGAAATCTGGTTTCAATTCTTGGATGTTAATACACGCTTCGTGTGCTTTCATGGCCAACTGGGGCCACCGACTCCAAGTACTACTGGCATGCCGGAGGGTGATCCCCTGTCGGTCGTGGCCCAAATTGCTGTGTGCTGGGCACTTGTGGCACGTCCGCTGCCGCCAAGCTGCACTCCCTGGACATATGTTGATAACCTGTCTTGGCTTGCTGACAATGGACCCGACCTGCGGTTCCTGCTTGAAGATGCGGTTGCCTTCTGTCAGTCGCTGTGCCTCCCAATCGATTGGGGCAAATCCTTTTGCTGGGGCACAACTCCTGCACTCCGCAAGTTCTGGAAGGGTCTGGGCCTACCGGCTTCACCCCCCTTCGGCCAGTTGAAACTTGTGAAAGATGCGAAGGACCTTGGTGTGCACTTTCGGTTTAGCCGTAACCAGGGTTTGGGTACTGCCGCAGCTCGCCTCTCGGACGGCCTCAAACGTTTGTCCAACCTGCAACGGCAGCACAGGCCGTTACTTGATGCGGCGCACTTGATCCAGTCTGGAGTTTGGCCTGCGGCCCTTTACGGCATGGAAGGCCATGTACCGCCCGCTGCCAAGTTGGATCAGCTGCGATCGGCAGCCGCTAAAGCCATGCTCGGCGACCGTTCTAGCATGTCGCCCCATCTTGCTCTCTGCTGCCTGACGCCACAGGTCTCCGACCCTGCAGTCTTTCTCTTAAACCAGTGCCTTCAGGCACTCCGACGCCTACTGATTGTTCTGCCGGAGTTAGGGGAGCGGTGGTTGCAGTGCTCCTGTGCGCTTGCCCACCAGGACCATCGGGTAATTGGACCTGCCACTGCCCTGGCGAAAATGCTGCGTGACCATCAGTGGACCATTCAGTCCTCGGGGGTCCTAAAGGGTCCTGGCCACTGGCACATTCACATTCGGTTACTTCTGCATCGGCCATCCGGCGAGCTTGCCAGGGTGCCTGGCTTGAGGACCTTGAGGGCCGCGTTGGTCATCGAAATGGCTTAGCGCGGGTCCCTTGCCCCTGCCCCAGCATCATGGCTACGGTTCTTCGCCGCTTTCCGGCGGGTCAACAGATCCACATTGCACAAAGCACGGTTGGCGGATTTCTGTCTGGTGCGGCTCGCTCAAAGTTTGACCCGCTTCAGTCCAGTGCGTGTGCCTTCTGCGGGGGAGTTGATACAAAGTGGGAATCGGCTCCCCACTGGCTCCACGCCCCTTTTCCGGTGCGGCACGACAGCGAGGACTTCCTCCGATTGCTGTGGTCTGGCAGAACTATCTTGCCACCTCCCGACGTGCATCGATTTATCAGTGATAACGACTGCCATTCCTATGACATTTTCACTGACGGCTCTTGTACCAACCCCATGTGCCCACAAGCTCGCCATGCGGCATGGAGTGTGGTCTTGCATAACCGCCTTGGCTCCCCCGCTGACCTGCGGGACGTGCTGCATTCTGCGGAGGCCTGTCGCGCGGCGTTTCCTGTTGTGGCGCAAGGATTGCTCCCAGGCATGCAGTCCATCTACAGAGCGGAAGTTGCTGCCCTCCTTCAGGTTGTGGCCATCTCCTTGCGTCATCCTGCCTGTCAGTTTGTCGCTTGGAGTGATTCCGCCAGTGCAATAAAGACCATTACTGCTTGGCTCGATCATGGCGTCCCTGATGTCGGACTTGGAGACCTTGAGGACTTGCGCTGCTTTCCGGCCGGCCAGCCACCTGCCAACCTGACCATCAAGAAGGTTGCCGCACATGTTGATCTTGGAAAGATTCCGGATGATCATTTGCTACCGGCAATTGGTAACTGGGTCGCCGACCTAGCTGCCAAAGCTGCTGAGGCCAGTGACTTGACGAACATAAAGGAGATCACCAGTGACATTGTCAGTTGGCGGAAACAGCAGACCGACAATATGTTCATGTTTTGCCAGTATCTGATTGAGGTCACCAAAACTGTGGCTACCTTGAAGCAGGCTCACAAGTCTCCGCTTGATTTGGTGAATCCAGAAGGGAAGTGCGATCCAACGGACTGGGTTCTTCTGCAACCCAGTTCGAAAGATGGCACTTGTGTGGACCTTCCTTGGATACTCCCGGCCACTGGTAAGAGGTCGCAATGGCCAGAATGGTTTTTGCAAAGTCTCCTGGAATGGTGCCACCACCTGCAGTGGCCGGCACCATCAGAGGACTGGCATGCCACTTCAGGTATTACCTTCCTGGAAATGCTTGTTAATTATGTTGTCTGCACAGCTCGCCTGCCACCAGTCTCCATCACCGAGGCGGGTATCCGAAGTAGCGTCGATCCATTGACAGCTGATGGTATTCTCTGCCCGATTGTCTTGCGAGAATCTGTGGTGAGCTTCGTTGCGGCTATCAAAGTACTTGACAAGATTGTTGACAGAAAGGTGTGGCCTTCAGCCCGACATCACCGAATTCACTGTCTTCGCTTCATGGGTGTCAAAGATGGAAGAAAGGGCCTGCTGGACCGACCACTGCTCCCAAATGCTCACGAGACAGCGAGTCTTCTGGGCAAGATTCTTGAGAGCAACTGTGGCGAGATTCTTAGGACTTTTGCACTACAACAGTGCCAATCGACGCCCAAAACGGGCAGATGAGACTCCTCGGCGCGACGGAACACCGGGAGGCCCAGCGTCGCCGTCTTAGGCAGGCCTGGGTCCTCCTTCCACAACCCGTAAAAGGTTGACTAGACTTTAAACCCCTCAAATCCCGAAACCCAAAGCCCTCAAGCGCTGGAACCCCCAGCTCCGGAGTTGAGGGGATCTCGTCCCCAGAGCCTCCAAAACCACTTAATTAAGGAATATACCTTAAAATCATATTAGGGATCCTATTATAATTTAAGGTATATTCCTTAATTAAGAGGTTTTGGAGGCTCTGGGTCCCAAGAGGGTTTAGGGTTCAGGCTTCCGGGCTCAGGGTTCAGGGTTTCGGATTTAGGAGGGTTTAGGGTTTAGGGTTTAGGGTTTAGGGTTTAGGGTTTTAGGGTTTAGGGTTTAGGGTTTAAGGCTTTGCAATCGATGAAGGTTGGAAGCATTTCCACAAGTAGCAGTGGAGTTCGGGGCCTGGGGATTTGGGGCCTTACTGCTTAAGGCTTCAGGGTCCCTGGACCCGAAACCCCAGAAACCCTAAACCCTGAACCGAAACCCTAAACCCTAAACCCTAAACCCCAAATCCCCAAACCTAACCCTAAGCCCTAACCCCAAAACCCTAAACCGGCGACCCAAAGCTGGCGCCTCGGCTTTTTGCTGATTTCAAGGCCTCCTGGACTTGAGAACAGCGCTGCTGCAGCCTGGGTTCGTGCTAGGGGTCTTGGGCTTTGGGTTTAGGGGTTTCGGGGTTCAGGGGTTTGGGGGTTCAGGGGTTTAGGGGTTTAGGGGTTTAGGGGTTCAGGGGTTAAGGGGTTTAGGGGTTTGGGGGTTAAGGGGTTCAGGGGTTCAGGGGTTTAGGGGTTTAGGGGTTTAGGGTTTGGGGGTTTGGGGGTTTGGGGGGTTTAGGGGTTTAGGGGTTTAGGGGTTTAGGGTTTAAGGGTTTACTAAACATGGTTTTCATATACGACTTGGAATCAAATTTTTCTGCAAGAAACCCTATAACGTCCCACAAACCCCTAATATCTGAGCTCCTTAACAAGGACCCAGCAGCACAGGCAGGGGCGGGAACTTCTTCCTGGAGTGGGCGGCTGCAGACAAGGCCTCCTCCAGTGACGGGGCCTCCGTGCCTTGCTTCCACAGGTTGATAAGAGCATTAAAGCCCGAAAGCTTGGTATATACCACTTTCGGACTGCTACTAACCACTTGCCCGAGCACTAAAGCGGGAAAGTCTGCTGTTCGAGACCTGCGGTGCCCAAAGAGGCGTTGACAGCACGGCTCTTTCTGAGGGACTTCACTTCGTTCGTGAGCTCAGTGGGCCCCAGGCTGGCAAGCGAAGGCACGAGCCAACCTTGGAGCACTGGTTTAGGGTTTAGGGTACAGGGTTTAGGGTATAGGGTTTAGGGTTTGGGGTATAGCGGTATAGCGGTATAGGATTTAGGGTTTAGGGTATAGGGTTTAGGGGGGGGGGTTTAGTGTTTATAACCCCCAAGCCTAAATCCTGGACCTCTGGAAAAAATCTTTCGAAGCCGTACCCTAAACCCTAAACCCCAAAAGCTTAAATAAACCCCTATATTCCAAACCTTTAAAAAAGCTGAGCAGCAGAGTAGTGACCCCGATGATCCCAGGCCGAGACCGTGGCGAACTGCGTCGATGCAGCCATTCACCCGCTGCTGCTCGGAGGGCCCGTGCTCATCCTCGGCGTCCCTGAGAAGCCTCGGCTTGGGTTTTGGGTTTAGGGTTTCAGGTCTAGGGTTAGAAGCACCCTGAACCCGAAAACCCTAAACCCTTTGTTAGCCCGAAACCTTACAGAACCCCAAAACCCCAAACCCTAACTAAACCCTAGGCCCTAAGCCTATAGCCCCGCTCAACCTAGAGCCCGCAGACCTCAAACCTATAACCCTAAACTGCCCTAAACCCCCAAACCTATATAACCCTATACCCTAAACTGCCCTAAACCCCTGAACACCGAAAACTCCCCCAAAAGCTGAACATGCTGAACCCAGGAGCAGAAGTACCGAGATGTCGCCCTCCTCGGAGCAGTGAGCAGCGGACAGGAGCCGCAGGAGCTGCTGCAGTTTCTCCGTGGGCTCCGTGTCTTCAAAGTCGCCCTGAAAGTATGATGGGAGGCCAACATGGGGGGTTTAAGATTCTTGGGGTAGGGATTCCTTAATATGAACCCTATTATGGGAACCCTAAGGGGGGTTTAAGATTCTTGGGGTAGGAATTCCTTAGTATGAAGCCTATTATGGGAAGCCAAATCCCTACTAAACCCCCATAGGCTAAAACCCCTTCTGGCCTCCTATGAAAGTAAGGCTTCATAAGGAAAGGCACCAGGTTTCGGAGACAAAAGGTGTAAAAGGGCTCCAGTCTAAGAAGGGTGTTTTTAGGGTTTCTGCATGGCTCACGGGATTTCAAAGGTCTTTAGAAGGGCTTATAATGGGGATGTTACATGGGGTCCGCTTGGTTTTAATGCGGGTTCTATTTGGTTCTATAGGGCTTGGAAAGATTTGCCCTTGTTCCTATGATTCAGCTTTAAACAATAGCAAGGATCCGCAAAATAAAAGGGTAAAGCGGTAATGACAGACCCAGCCTTCAGTGAGCAGTGAAGCAAGGTAGAAGTGGCGAAGCCTCGGAACTTTTAGGGCTTAGGGTTTAAGGTTTAGAGATTTTTAGGGTTTAGGGCTTATGGTGCTCTTTGAAGTATAGAAGAGCATACGTTCTAGGTAACGCTGTGACGGGCCTTACGGAGGAATGGAAGGTACCTTGGGCATATAAACATGAACACTTCGCCCAAAACCCTCAACCCAAAAGTCGAAAAAAATCTTACTCCAACAGTCTAAACCAACCCCTAAACCCTAAACCAGCAAACCAACAAAACCGCAAACCCATGAACACTAAGGGCGAAGCCGTAGAGAGTCGCAGTGAGGGCTTCGCAGAGGTCGCTGCCGGCATCGAAGCCGTGCACATCTGCCAAGGTCACCCCTCTCGTGCCTAGGCTTTCAAGGCTCCCCATCAGAAGGGGCTTGGGATTTGGGGTTTGGGTTTAGGGTTAAGAGTTTCGGGTGCTTGGGTTTAGGGTGCTGGGCTTGCTCAAAATCAACAGAAGGGTACTACGACTACGGGGGGGGCCGAGCTGCATTCCTCCCGGGCGAAATCGCCGATGAGGTCAATGGACGGCATCGTGTGGATCCGCAGCGGATTCGGCGCCGCACCCCGGAAATGGCACTCCTGCAGCGCGTAGAGATACCTAAGCTGGTCAAGATCCAATAGACGTAACCTGTGTTCCCTTCACTAGGGCTAAGGGTCCCTAAGATCTAGCTGCTGAGATTTAGGCTTTTGGTTAAGGATTGACCGTTTACCTTATGGCAACGTTGGATCGATCTCGGAACCAGCACCAGCAAAGAAACAACCCACAAGATGATGGGTTGAAGGCAAGTTGCTGTAGCAAGTAAGACTTGCCCAATGCTTGGTCCGTCCCCACAGACAGCACCAGGGGATAGGACGGACTGCAGAAGAGCCTCGCTAAGCAGGTGTGAGATCACGCTTGAGATGAGACAGGCAGACAGAAGCTGGGCAAACAGTGTAACTAGCGATAACGGCAAGGAACCAACAGAAAGTCATAGCCTCCTCTGAAAGTGCGAGCAGTCGAATGATTGAATGGTAGGACTAGAAACCTTCAGAATTTCAACAAGCGCACCAAACACAGCTCAAAGAAGCGAAGTTGACCCCCCCCACCTCACCCACCGAAGCTGTCACCGAAACTGAAACTGCCGGAGGCTCGAAGCTCTCCAGAAAAGAAAGCCCGTCAACATAACCCTAAACCCTAAACTCTAATGCCCTAAACCCTAAAATCTAAACCCCTAACCTTTATAGGGGTTAAGAGTTCAGGGTTTAGGGGTTTAGAGTCCTAAACCCTATACCCTAAGCCGCAACATGCAAAGCCAGGGTTCAGAGCTTCGGGTCCAGATCTCGCTTTCACGGTTTGGGGAGGCTTCGGCGTCTGGGGAGTCTGGGGTATAGGGTTGTTGAGTTTATGATTGGGGCCTCAATCATTACCAATACTCCTTGCTATAGTTAAGGTTTAATGATATGTACCCCCAAGCCCTGTTCTAATTGATAAGGCCCCTGGTTTTGGAGTTTGTTGATATAACCTTCACTTTGGAAGCCTTTAATCTAAGATCGAAGACCTCCCGAAGCCTCACGGCAGCTGCCAAATCGTAAACCCTGCAACCGAGTGAAGAGCAAAACAAGCTTGATCCCTGCAATCTTCCGGCAGATGGATCATGATGTATTCCTCCCTGAACCCTAACCCCTAAACCCTAAGCCCCAAACCCTAAACCCTAAGCCCCAAGCCCTAAGCCCCAAGCCCTAAACCCTAAACCCTAATGCCCTAAGCCCTAAGCCCTAAGCCCTAACAATCACCGGTCTGGTGGGCAGAAGCCTAAATGACTAATCACATTATTGCTTAAGGTTCCTTGGCATACTTATACTATGGTATACACCAAACCGTATTTTAGTTTTTCATGCGCTATATCAGGCCTGCAACCCCTACACCCTAAAACCCTTCATCAGTCAACCCGAAACCCTAGGCCCAACCCACCCTCCCTAAACCCTAGACCCCTAAACCCCACACCTGGCACCCATAAAATCGGATTCCAAGGAGCTCCCTCAATGCTCCCCACTGGATCTGCGAGCAAAGCTGGAGACCCCGTCCGATGTCCTTTTGATGATTTTTGGATGTGCCGGTTAGGGTTTCGGGCTTGGGTTTAGGGTTTAGGGTTTAGGGTTTAGGGTTTAGGGTTTCGGGCTTGGGGTGTAGAGTGTCAGGTTTAGGGTTTAGGGTCAAGGATTCTGGTGTGTGGGAGGTTTGGGATTTGGGGGTTTGAGGGTTTGGGGGGTGTATGCAGCTGAAGAGTTACAAGAGTGCAGAGCTTAGATTGACTTGGATTTGGAGTGTCACATAGAGGCCGTGGTCAGGGTATTCTAGAGGGATCGCCAAGTCTCCCCATCGGCTGAGGCGGGAACCGCCCAGCCAAATAGCCTGGGAAAGGGCGCTGCGGCACTTCGTATTAAATGCTGGTCGTTGTTGAAGAGGTTGGAAAGGAAAGGAGAGAGAGGTGGAAGATCCAAAACCTCCAAACCGCTGAAGAAAAAGACGACATCGGTCGAGCGAAAGAGAGACTCTGAGATAGCGAGAAAGAGAAACGACGGGAGAGGCGGGAAAAGCGGATGTGCTGAGCCTGCATTTTGCTTCTGCGGCGTAGGGTTTTGTAGGATACCAGGGTTAGCCACTGTAGGTTTTGGGGCGTTTAGGGACAGCTTTGTGCTCAAACCTGGCGAGGGGCAAAGGAAGAGGAGAGTCCGTCTTTGCTGCCAGAGTCATCATGCGCGCCTTCCCGGGAAGGGCTTGGGCCGTGGGGAGCGGGTCACAGCTTGCAGATTGCAGTAAGATAAGGGCCCTCAATACCAAGTGATGATAGTAATGCACATCTAATCCTACGCCAGCCTGAGACGGGCCAGGAGCCATGCTACTGAAGGTCAGAGCGATGAGAATGTCCCGAGGCTGAAGGTGCTTTCCTCGGACGGCTGGATCAGCTCTTCTTCTTGAGGGCCTTTGGGGCCTGGTCGTTTAAGCTTCGTTTTCAGACCGTTGTATCCGCGCTCACATGACACCGTTCTTACGAAACAGAAGAGCGCACGCACTGATAGCCAGACCTCCGAAACCAACACTGAGTTAAGCTAAGGGCATTGGGAGTTAGCGGTCCAGTTGTCTTTGAGGTTCAAGAATTCGGATAGGTCTCTCATTGAAGTTTGAAGCTTTACTCCGTTGCAGAAGGCACAGATGTTTGGGGCTTGTCCTGGCATCCGGGGCCTTGAGACAGCATCTACCAGGTCAAAGGTGCCCCCAAGTCGAGGATTCGGAATTTAGTGAGCACACTAAGCCAAACTTACACCCCCAAACCCCATAAGCCGATCCCCCAAACTCTGCCTTCTAACCTCCGACCAGTGTCGAAGCAAGTTCTTCTCCACCTTGTCTAGGCCGCAGCTCCTGGAGATGTTTCGCCTCCTCTGCCTCTCTATGGGGTTCTGGGCTTGGGGCTTAGGGCGGGGCTCCGAGTTTGGGAGAGCCCTTCTCAGAAGAGGAATCTGCACTAAAAGAACACTTTTAAGGTGAAACGGATTTCTGGGATGTCTGACCCTTCACAGTTGCATAGTCTCAGCGGCATCCACTCGTTGCGAGGAGGACAGCAGGGGCTAGCTACAACGGGCTCCGGAACGGCATTTGTTTAAGAATGATGGTGAGCCCCTCCTGAACCCTAAACCCAAAAATCCTGACAAATCCCAAGTCCCTGACTAATAGACCCTAAAACCCTAAACCTAGTTCGGCTTTCAGGGTCATGCAGGTCATGAAGGGGGTGGGGTTTGGGTTCGAGGGAGTCAAGGATGAAGGGTTCAGGGCTCAAGATTTATTGGTTTTAGGGTTGGGCCTTCAAACTCAACTCCCTCAAGCCATGCGCTCTGCCTCTAATGCCCCAAAACGCGTCTCCATCTTGAAGCATTGAAGTGCATGATTTAGCGCCTTAGGGTTTCCATTTTTGAACCATTTAACATTTAGCTGACCAGGACAGTTGCGGACCAGGGCGATAAAGATGTAACTTCAATCATAACCACTTCTTATTTACGACCCCATTTTACGTTGCTGATAGGATTACGTTACTAAGTGTTACTAAGTCCCCCTGATCCTGTAAGCACATCCTTAAGCTCGAAACCCTCGAAGCCACATCATAGTCAAAGGCCCTAAGCTGTGTTGTAGTTTGACCGCCCCCAACAACACAGAGGCAGGCCCAACGGCCACCTAGCCTGAACCCTAAATCCTAAAACCCATGAAACCCTGTCCGGAGCGTGTTGAGCATGGAGGATATCCCTTGCCGCCTCTTCACCAAGTCCTCAGGTTGCTAGCCGCAAGACGTAATTGCAAGAAAATGAGGCTTCGGCGTGGAGGCTTTAAGGCTTTACAGCTTTTGTGGCTTTAGGGGTTTAGGGCTTCTCTTTGGGGCTTCTTAGAGTTTGACAGCTTTTGCGGCTTTGTGGCTTCAGGTGTTTTTGGCTTCGCTTTGAAGGCCTCGCCTTGACAGATCAGAAACACTAACCCCAAACCCTAAATAGACTCTAAACTATCAACCGTCAACCCGCAACCGCAAGCACTCCAATCCCCACACCCCAAAAGCTCTGCAGCATGCCTCAAACACACAACGGCCACCCGAAGGAAGCCGAAAGATTCCCGAACGCCCCATGCACCCTTCGCTCGTAGATTGGCCTGACTCAGAAACCTAAACTCTGAAAAATGATTGCTTTTAAATCCGAAGCCTACACACCCTGTACCATAATCCCTAAGCCCCAGACTCCTATCCTAAACCCCAAGAATTTATCTGTTCTAAGCCCGAAACCCCAAAACACCCCTGCCCCCCCCCCCCCCTCAAAAAGAAATATGAAAGCCGACCCAAGGAGCCTAAACCCCACGACCGAGAGGCCACCAGCAAGGGCTTCAGCGCAGCGATGAGCCGCCGGCCGCCGCAGCGCTCGCGCGCATCGGCCACCGCGCTTCGGCAGAGCTTCTCAAACTCGTCCTGTTTCAGGGTTTAGGGTTTAGGGTTTAAGGTTCAGGGATTAAGGGGTCCTGTTTAGAGTTCATGGTTGAAAGAGGACTACAATGTACGTTTTTATTCCTGATTGGGTTTAAATACCCAGAAAAATGTAAAATGCTATCCAACTATGACAATGTTTTAGAGTTGAGGGGGGTCTGGGGGTTCAGGGTTTAAGGGTCGGGGCTTCAAATCTCGGGTTCAAGACGGATTTCAATCGACGCGTGGCCTTGCCTGAACAAGGCCCTGTGTTCAATTCCGTTCAATGTATCGCAGCAACAATCGCAAGAATCGCAATTACCAGCCCAAGCGGCCGCTTCACATCTTGTTAGCATCGGCGCAAACCCTCAGGAAATCCCGAAACCCCAACAAAGCTCGCCCTGCTCCAAAACGCTTATTCGATTTAGGGGAGTCAGGTGTCCGGGTTTGAGGCTTCGGCCTCTGGGTGTAGAGTCGAGGATTGTTAGTCGGGATGTTTTTGATTTGAGGCTGGGAAGTTTCGGAGCATGCCAAAGCATGAAGCGACTGCCGCCCTCTCGACCGATCTGAAAACAAGACTCGCCACATACATACATCATGTACCGAATCCAGTCACGTCGCTCGAAACGGCAAATTCATACCCCAACCCTAAACCGCAAACCTCAACCCCTGTCAAAGAACCTACTACCAGTTATCATCAGAGGGATACGCTAAAGTTGAAGTCAGGCAATCAAGGTTCTGCTTTTCTAGTAATCCTATCTTCTAAGCCTGAAGACTGAAAAGGATCCTCCACCGTGCCCGTCTTCTCACTGAAGCGGTCGTAGACTTCCACCTGCTGCCGGGCCGACGTCCCCAAACCCCACTTCATCAATCCTATTAACGGCTTTGGGTTGCTGGGACACCAGACCGCAAAATCCCTAAATCCTAAACCCTAAACCTTAAACCCTGGACCCCTGCAACTCAAGGAATAAAGAAAAGGTCCCAGGGGCCACAGCTCTGCTTCCCTGGGTGCCGAAGACTCCTTGGCCCCTTCGCTCCTTAAGGAAGCCCAAAACTCTAAGAAAGTACTGTACACCAGGATCCACCTCCATGCACCTAAGGCCTGATCCTGAGGGTTCTATACGTAAACCCCAAAGCCTGAACCCTAATTCTCAGCCCAAGCCTGGTAATGAAGAGCCGAATCCTAAACCCTGAATCCCTGAATCCCTGAACCCAAACGCGGACAGTAACCCCCCGAAAGGTGGAACCTAGATTAGCCCGGATCCCCTACGCTTTACCTCAAGGGCATGGGGATAACGACTCTCCAACTTTCTGGCTTCCACGTTCAACCCGTGCAGCCCCTGCAGAACACCTTTTTCAGATTTGAGGTTTTCACTTCTTGGGAGATTCTGTGAGTTTCCCTTTCTTTGGGTGAGTGGGGAAGGTGTCCCGAATAAGCATCCTTAGACCTGCCGGTTTAGGGTTTGGTATGTGCTTAAAGCAGTGAACCCAAACCCTAAACCCAGAACCTTGCATCCTAAACGCTCAACTTTGAACCCCGAACCCTAAACCCTAAACCATGAACCCTAACCCTAAACAACTCAGAACCCTGAACCCTAAACCCCGAATGTTGCGAGATTGAAGTTTCGGCAGTCAGGCCTTTTGGAAGCATCGGTCGACAGTCTGAGTCTGGGAAGAAGGCTCCTCCCAGGGTATTGGGGGGGCATGGGTTTAGGTTTGAGGGGTTTAGGGTTTAGGGTTTCGGGGTTTAGGGGTTTAGGGGTTTAGGGTTTAGGGGTTTAGGTTTGACGGGTTGAAGGTTTAATAAGGTAGGACGGTTAGGATTCAAGCTTTGGGTTTAGGGTTCAGGATTTACGGTCGAGGGTTTAGTGTTTGGGTAGGCATTCCGTTTATTCGCATCTACCTGGGGCTTTCAGTCTCTCACGGCCTGGGATGGTTTGGAGGACCCGAGTTTGGGGCAATGTGGGTGGTGGGAATCGGGGTTTGATGTCTGTTGTCCTACAAGACTTTTGGAAAGCACTCTAATTACGACTTTTGCAGGCCGCCATATTCTCTTGCCTGTCGGGCTTTCATGCTTGGAGCCACAAGAAATCGTTTACTTCGAACATCCCCACCCTACTGTAGCGCCTTGTCCTTCCTACACGCAAATCCTAAGACTTAAAGAACCCGAGCCTAAACCTTAAACCCTGTTGTTCCCGAGCACTCCAGGGATTCTCACGGTAGTCTGTGGGGTTGGGCACTCCAGAGATTCTCACGGTCGTCTGTGGGGTTGGGCACTCCAGGGATTCTCACGGTAGTCTGTGGGGTTGGGCACTCCAGAGATTCCCACCAGGAAGTAATCTCAGCGGGCGAGGAATAATAGCTGACTTTAAAATCTAACAATCCCAACATCGAGGGTGGGGAACAAACAAGCACACGAAACGAAGCCAGTCATCCTTCTTTCCACCCTCAACCCCCTACCCTGACACTAAAACCCCGAACTCAGAACCATAAAATCCCCGAAACCGAAATGCTAAACCCTTAAACTTAAACCCCGAACGCGAAACCCTAGACCCTCAACCCGAAAGCCCAAAACCCCTGAAGCCTGAACCCGAAATCATTAAACCTAGAAGCCCCAAACCCCAAACCCTCAACCCGAAATATCCCGAAATCCTGAACCTGAAACCCGAAATCTCCTACGCCTTAAACCCCAAAAAAACGACACCTAAACCCTAAACTCAAAACCCCTAAACCCCTAAACCCCTAAACCCTAAACCCCTGAACCCTAAACCCCTAAACCCCTAAACCCTAACCCTAAACCCTAAACCCTAAACCCCTGAACCCCTAACCCCTAAACCCTAAACGCTATCGCCCTAAGCCCGAACCCTCCCAAACCCGTCCGGCACGCCAAGCAGCTGAAGAAAGGCGTGGTCCTCACGGTTCTTCGGGCTTCTGGGCTTTAGGGTGTGCGTTTTTTTTGTTTTTTTGTGAGGGGGGAAGGGGGGGGGCTAGGGATTTAGGGTTTAGGGTTTTATGTGTTTTTTGTTGTCTTTTTCTGTGAGGGGGGAAGGGGGGGGTTAGGGACTGTGGTTTAGGGTTTAGGGTTTCCTGGGTTTTGGGGTTTTTGGTTTTCTTTTTTTGTGGGGGGGGGGGGGGTTAGGCATTAGGGTTTAAGGTTTTCTGGGCTTTGGGTTTGTGTTTTTTGGGAGGGGGTTAGGGTTTAGGGTTTAGGGTTTTCTGGGTTTTGGGTTTGTGTTTTAGGGCTTGGGGTTTTATCTGAGGGGCTTGGGGAATTTAAGGTTTCGGGTTTTGGGCCTAGGGTTTAGGACTCTTTTTGGGTTTAGGGTACCGCATGGCCTGAATAAGCAGAACAGGGTCTTCTGGCGCTGCCTTCAAGCATCCGGAAACCCTAGATTCGAAACCTCAGGCTCTGAACTCCATGACCTCAGACCTCCATGCCAAGTTTAGAGAATCCTAAAGCGCAAAACAAACACACATACACACACACACACTTTGGACTCTGGCGACGGCGAAGCTATGAGAGAAAGAACGAACAGCTTGGGCTGTAGGGTTCAGAGTTTAGGGCTTGTGGGTTTAAGTTTACGGGTTCGGGAGTTTAGGGATTTGGGCATTAAAAGAGGGGCCTGGAGTGCGGGGCTTTACGGCTTAGCTGTCGTTGCGTCGAGGGTTTCAGGCTACTGGAGCCCAAACCCTAAACCCTGCACCCTAAGCCCATTACCCTGAACCCTAAAACCCTAAACCCAAAGCCCTAAACCCTAAGCCCACAAACCTGAACCCAAAACCCAAAAACTCTAAACCCTTTGATAGCCTTGCCCTGAAACCTTAGCAGTAAACCCTAAATTCCCTATAGGCTCTGTACGCCGCGGATAAAACCCTCAGGAATTTTGGCTATTCAGGCGCTTCAGCTTTTGAGGCGAGCCTGACGTCCATTGATCCGCTCCAAGACAGCCGTCTCCTCAAACTGACCTCCTGAAAGGCAGGCAGCTGGCTGCTGGCCACCGGGATGATAAGGCCAGGATGGCCGCCGGCCTAAAATCAGGGCGCCGCGCAAAGTGCGTTGCCCAGCCAGCAGGATCCACACTTTTGATCCACCGTGCTTCTCATGTCTGATAACGTGTTCTGGAGGTGTTATACAGTTCTTTTACAGTGTTAAGTATAAGGTCCCTAATTACAGGGGCACGTAGCACTCATTATTCAAACCCTTACCTCCCCTATCCTCCCCTCCTTGCTAGTTTGCCTCTTGCGAAGCAGCCTGTCTACAATCTCTACAAGCTGAAACATTCACCCTACTCATTACTTAGAAGTCTGAAGCTGAAACACCTGAACCCCCAAACCCGCAAAACCTTCAAGACGCCAAAACTCTGAACTAACGCAAACGCTAAGCCCTAAACTGACCCAAAACCCTAAACCCCAAAACTCTGAACTAACCCAACCCACACCCCCTAAGCCCTAAACTAACCCAAAACCTCTAAGCTAACCCAAACGCAAGGCCCGAAACAGTTCCTGCACGGATCCGGCGGACTCTAAAGTCGCAGACAGCGTGGCTAAAGGCAGCTGCGCATCCGCAATCTCCGGCACAGCCTGCGGCTTGGAGTTTGTGTACGTGTGTGTGTGTGTGTGTATACATATGTATGTATATGTGTATGTACGTAGCTAGGTATGGACGGACGGATAGACGGATTGATGGAGGGACGGACGGACGGAGACATGGATGGATGGATGGATAAAAAGAAAGGTAGATAGGCAGGTAGGTAGATAGACAGATGGATAGACAAAGTGATGGATTTTGGTGCGGTTTGCTAGCTGTTTCTATTTGTCTTTGTCAGATTCTCTAGTCCCTTTCGAGCGAGTCCGTTTCGTGCGGTTTGTTACCGTTTAGGGTTCTTGCTTGAGGCCCGAGGGATAAAGGGCTTAGGCTGTATAGGTTTTGGGCTACGATCAGGTGCATTTTGCAGCAAGCCGTACGACTCAATGTCTGGCCCTCTCAACCCAAGCCCTTGACCCTGCTTGACCCTACAGAACTAGGCCCCGAGTTCAAATCCCTTGCAACCTTGTAGCACCCTACTCAAACAACGCGAACCAACACACATATACACAAAGAGGAGCCCGGAAACCCGGAAGGACCTGAGAGCTTGAGACCGACGGAGATGGTGCCCCTTCCTGCTTGCAGGAGGCATTACATGGAGGTTCCATGGGTAGTTATAATAGGGACTATAAGTCGCCTTATATGGGTTATACCTACAGTTAAGCTACTTATATCTCCACTCTTTGTCATATCTACCCATGATCCTCCAAGTACAAGGTGTCGGTTCAGGGTTCAGGGTTGTGTTTTGAGGTTGGCTCTTCGGGGCTCAGGGTTGAGAGTCCCGGACTCAGGGCTTAGGGCTTGGGGCGTGAGGTTCAGGGATTAGGGTTTAGGGCTTAGGGTTCAAGACTTAGGGTTTAGAGACTATGGCTCAAGGAGGGGTTCAGGGTTCAGGGTGTAGGGTTGAAGGTTCAGGGTTTAGGGTTTTGCGTGGCGTGTAGGGTATTGGGCCTTGGGTTTGGGGCTTAGGGTCTTGGTACGGATATCTCGGAGCCTGAATAATCAAAATAGGGCTTTAGTGGTACATTATAGTACAAGTACATATATTATATACTTATAATCGAGGAAACAAGGAATAAGTTGGTAATTGTTCACACTTGTCTGACTTTGTATACTTCAGAATTGGCAACGGCGGCGCGCGATACATGCCATGTTAAAGAAACTGCCATCTGGGATACACTTCCGTATATGCAGACCCGAACCAAGGGCAACCACCTCGGGGTCGTTTTGGTAGCGGGAATTTCGCGATGTTGAACACACACACACACACACACACACCTGACATAGTCCCTTGAAAAAACGACAACAGAAAGACTTGCAGCCAATATTAGCATCCTATAAACTTCTACAATGGTGCCTGTAAGGGTCTTATCGGGATGAAGGTTTAAATCCAATGCTTCATGGGTGGAGTTACTCTACCGTCCGATATCCAGCAGCCAAGCACAGAACAAGAGAAACACTCTCAAACTGCAGGCATAAACCAACTTAAGACACCCTGCATGCCAAATTCTGTATATGGGAGTTTCCAAAAATAGGGGGCCCGAATATAGTACCCTAAGTTGTAAGGGCCCTATTGTAAGGACCTGAAGAGAGGGTACCCGGAATTTTCGGAAACTCCCTTATGCGAAGCGCCAAAGACCCCAACCCCTGAACCCGAGAGTTTCCCCACCCTCAACCCTTAACCCGAAAGAGAGAAATTGAGTACCCTACTGTTAGAACTACTAGTCCCTCAATAATCCTCTCCCCCTGCCTAGCACCCCGAAACCCTAAACCCGGAACTTACAAGACCCTAAACCCTAAAGCCTTCGAACCTTACCCTGTTCAACCTCGTAGTGATGCACTGAGTGCATCAAGAGTTGCAACCCGAACGCATGGACCTCGTCTGGCATGTCCCAGTTGCGAAAGTGTAAACCCTAAAGCCGCTATGCAAGTACCATCTTGCGGGCATCGTAGAACCCCTCCTTCTCGGTGAGGGCATTCTGAACTTCGCCATCCACTGCCTGGGGGAAAGCGTAAGGGGATGTGAGTTTAGGGCTTTTAGGGATTGGGGCTTCGAGATTGCTGAGTTAGCCTACCTTCAAAACCTCCCTGTAGCCGGAAAGACTATAACGTTTTGGGGTTCCTTATTGTGAAAGGTCTCTATTTCTAGTTCCTTGAAAAGGTAAGCCTTTTGGGCCACAGGCACGCCCTGGACCCGATTCGACCTGAAGAGGAAGGTTCAAAGGTTTGGGGCTCGGCGAGGTCGGAGCTTCGTATTCTAGGGCTCGGAATTCGGCTTCAAGCGAGGATCGCGGCGTAAGACTTACTTGAATGCCGGGGTTGCAAGCCTAGGCCCTTTAGGCTAAACCCTAAAAAACCTTAAACCCTAAACCCTAAACCGCAGACCAGGGGCCTCTGACCCTACAACCACGTCGTAAGAACTTTGGTATGGGCTTTGGGTTTTAGCCCGGATTGAGCACCATGCCAGAACCGGGCAATAACCGCGATGAAGGTCGCCGAAGCCCTTAACCCTAACCGCCTTAACCATGTACCAGAGCCCCGTGACCTAAACTCCCGAGAGCATACGCACCGAAACTCTTGGAAACCTGAAGCCTGGACCTAAAAGATGCAGGTGGCTTGACAATTAGAATACGATGTTGGGGTCTAGTATACTATGCTCATCCTAACTGATACTATTGCTAATGGTTCAGGCCCTTATATTACCCTGCAACGTGAAGCATCGCCGCAGTTGTAAACCTCCCATACAATTCCTTCGAGCTTCCCAACCGCCTTGCTCCAGGTAGTAGACGGCTGGACAAGCCCTTCCCCTGCATCATTAAGCCCTAAATCCACGAACCATAAATCCAAAACCCGACATCCCCAAACCGAAATCCTTCAATCCTAAATCCCTAAACCCTTGAACCCTAAATCCCTAAACCCGAAAAGTAGCTTCGAGTCCCCACTGAAAGTGAACCGTGGTCTCGCCTGCCGACCCCTAAGCTGGAGCTGCAGCAGCCGTTTCTCCAGAACTCCATAGGTGTCCTTGGGTTTAGGGTTGGGTTTAGGGTTTAGGGTTTAGGGTTTAGGGTTTTGGGTTTTGGGTTTAGGGTTTCGTGAGGATTGAGCCTTAGGGCTTGGGATTCAGGGTTCAGGATTGCAGAATCTGCGTTTGGATCTCAGGCTTGGGCTCGAGACCACATCCCACCTGGGAAGGGAAGATCGGGATAATGCCAACAAGAAGAACTATGCTGCATCAATGGTCCTGAGTCATTAGTGAGGAGCACTATCATACTACTTACTGGAATGACAGCGACAATGACGATGACTAGCCATTATGCTAGCAACCAGCGACTGACCGTCAGACTGACTTAGCAATTATAGGATCCCCAGCACCCAACAGGTCACGACAACAAACTATGAATTAGAGAACCCTAGACCCTTGAATCTAGAAACCGTCAGACCTAAAGTGCTACCACCAGCCCAACCCCAAACCCCTAATCCTGAAACCTACAGACCCAGAAAACCCTAGAAGAAACGCAAGAAACCCTATACTTGAGCCCTATGACGAGCCCTAAGCCTCAGCCCAGGAGTTCCTGCACCCTCAACCCGAAGTCCTAATTTGGGGTTTAGGGTTTAGGACCCAATACTGAACTTGGTGCTTCCTTATTGTATTGACAGCAGAATAGAGGGGCTTCAGCACTTATTAAACCCTACATCCCTAAAACCCTGAAGCACATCCTAAACCCTCATCCAAATCCTAAGCCCTGAACTACATCCCAAACCCTACATCAAAAAAACCTTGAACTACATCCTAAACCCTAAACTAAATCCTAAGCCTAGACCCTAAGCCCTAAACCCTAGGCCCTAGTGGTTTCTAAACCAAATCCTAAGCCCTATAAACCCCTCAACCCGTTTGCCAAGCTTCTCCGTAGATCTCCCGCGCGGTGCCCGAAGCCTCGCGCTGCTTCTTTTGCACCGCCAAGCGAGCCTCCTGCAGATAAATTTCCTTTGGGGTTTAGGGCCTTAGGGTTTAGGGTTTAGGGAATGGAAGAATGGGGTACAATTATAACTACTATTGTTACCATGCTACCACCATATTACTACCATATAACTACTATTACTACCATTCTTCCATTGCCTACTAACCAAAGGTAAGTAAAGCGATGCTTAGAGGCCTCCGAAACCGAAAACGGAACGGTTTAGGCTGGAGGGTCTAAGGGAATGCAGCAAGCTCTAAACCCTAAGAAGCTCGAGCAACCCAGAAAACGCGGAATCCTCTACAGCCCGAGGTTTGAAATTTGGGCTGAGGCCGAATGATGAGGAGCTCAGCGTGAAGGTTTGGGGAAACTTGTGGGTTTAGGGCTGTTAGGGTTTAGGGTTTATGGTTAGGGTTTAAGGTTCGGGCTTTAGGGCTTATCAAATGGGGCAGTTAGGGTTTAGGGTTTAGCTCAGGATTTCGGGTTTGGTATCATCCCGAAATGCAAAGAGCATTTCATAGGATCTTCTATCGCCCCGCGTTTCGCCTGGACCGCTCTTGTAGCATGTCGTACCACCATTTGTCTGGTGCACTTAAACCCGAAACCCCAAAAGCCCAGCCCACACCCCAAATCCTAACCCGGAGCCTGAAACAAGTGGAAACTCTGAGGAATGCAAAAACACAGTGGTGAAAGCCCTAAAGCTCCAGAAACCCTGAACCCCAATGCCTCGAAGCAGTGGAAATCTTGTTCCCGTTAAAGCAAACCCTGTTCGGCCTCTTTTAGAACCCCGAAGGAGCCCTCTATACCCTAAGCCCTAAACACCCTTATAGAACCCCGAAGGAGCCCTTTATACCCTAAACCCTAATCCCTATAGAACCCCGAAGGAGCCCTTTCATAAACACCAAGACGACCGTCCTCGAGATTTCGGGGTCCGGCTTGCTGCAGCAGCTCAAGGATCCCTCGGCATCTTAGGGGTTTTGGATGGCCCCTACGGTTGATGATATAAATCCTGCCTTACCCTTGATAAGGAATATACCATAATTTCCAAAGCTTAGGGTCCTTAAGGTAATGCAGGATTTACATCATCAACCGTAGGGCCATAGGGGATTCAGTGTTGGGGGTTCAGGGTTTTTGGGGGTTTGGCGCGAGCGGAACTTATGAAGCTTCGAGAGACTTTGAAAGGAAGCTTCACAAATGAAATGCATGGGGCTGTGCACAACAGTGACATCCCGAAAACCAGCAACAACTCACATCATAGCGGCCAAAACAGCCAGCCCCTCACCACGAAGAACATCGTCGGGTTTGCGAAGCTTTGAGCAGGAAGCTGAGGCGTCGACGATTGAAGTCGGGCATGCCTTGCATTGCAGAAAGCTTCGAGAACTGGAGTGTCTCTGAGGCTCATGCAACTTGCCGGTTGCCCACATAAGACCTACGGTACTACATAGGTACTGCCCCCATACAGTAAGAGTCTATAATAGGGCTACTATTAAGGTCCTAACTCCACTGTTACTGAGCGGGGGCCGTACCCAAGACGGTACTACGCTTTGAAGTGCAAGCAACTTTAGAACACTATGCATACACAATGGAATAGCTATCAGCATTATAATGTTATTGCTTTTGTACCATCATAATTAGTATAGTGATATTACACAAAACTCACAATACTGATAATGATCTGGGAACACAAGGATACAATACAATTGTGTTAGAACAGACTCATAATGTGGCATACTACTAAGCATATACACGCAAACAGTAATCATAGACAACAGCGGTAACAACAGCAGTCCAACATAAGCAGAAGCCGAGGATTCCATTCCAGGTTGCGTGGTTCAGGCTTGAGTTGCGAGTCTTGAGGCTTCGAGGGTCTTGACGTAAAGGGTTTCAGGGTTGAGGGTTTGGGGGTTTAGGGTTTCCAGGCTCAAGCATGCTGTGGAAATGCAGGTCTAGACAGAGACCAAGGCTACACTGATTTCTTCGACACTTCGCGGGCTCCGGCACTTCGAAGGCACTAGCCACGAACTCCTCCAGACACAACAGCAAACCTCTACATCCCGAACTCAAATGCAAGATACTACACCCGACTAAATTCCGGAACCCCTAAACCCTAAACCCAAAGTCCCCCCCCCCCCAATCAAAAACAAGCGGAGAGCCTTGGGCATCGGCTTCAATGGTATCGGGAGAAGCTACCTTGCTTGGGCAGCCAAGAGCGAAAAAGTTGGGCCTGGGACTTCCCATCCCGGAGCCTGATTCAGAGTATGGTCATGAGTTCTATATGATTATTCTTTACTACCATTTTACTGATTAAAATCATGATTTTCCTTAGTAGTGGCAGTAGCAAGAACAAGTTCCACGAAAGTTCGCCAAAAAAAGACCCTACTTCATATGCTTTGGGGGTTCGGCTCAAGGGTGGTTTAAGAGTTTAGGGGTTTGGGGTTTTGGGATTCTGGCGGTTTAGGGGTTTGGGGTTTGGGGACTTAGGGACGGTTAAGGATTTAGGGTTTAGGCTTTGAGGTTTAGTAGAGACCTGGCACTTGCAGGGTATTTCGGGTCTCGAGACTTGGATGCTACTCCCAGGAGAGATCGGAGTTTCCGCAATTTAAGGGTACCTTATTTTGAGGTCCTTATAATAGGTTCCTACTATTTAGGCACTATAAGGGTCCCCCTATTTCCGGAAACTCCCATATCAAACGCCATGCTGTGCTGTCCTGCTATTCGTCTTCCGGACATGAACTGCTGCCTCGGAAAAGCCCGGGCCTTGCCGTTGTTATGGTTTCGCGGTGGTGGTTCTGCTCATGGCGCGTGACTTGCGTCGTCATTCGTCCTCGTCGTGACAAAATCGAGGTGCAGATGATCTTGTTTTTGGGGGGTCTGGTTACATATATTCCCTTAAACCCTAAGCTCTACACCATAGACCCTGTGGGGGTTTCCGAACATTAGGGGTACCTTATTTTGGGGTCCTTCTACAAAGGATCCTACTATTTAGGGTACTGTATAAGGGTCCCCTGTTTTCGGAACCTCCCGTAAAGGCCCGTACACCATGAAGAAAGACTGGCCGAGCTGCTTTCGTCTTCAAGAGGTTGGCTTGAAGTTTCTCTGCTTCCTTCTTGACCTCCGGACTTCCGAGAGAACTCAATGACCCTTAATTAAGGAATATATATATATATATATATGTATATTAAGTTATAGTAGGCTCCCCAGTATGATTAAAGGTGTGTATGACCTTATACCTGGTCATTATAATCTGCCCACCCGCACTGGCGAGTACAGCCATTCGTCAGGCTGCCCCTACCAACGCGACGCGCTGGCCTTAAGGGCTACCAGCTTCTCACACTCCCCCCGCTCCACAGCTTATGCGAAAGAGTGCTCCCTGCTGTAACTCCCCCAGGCCCAGCAACCACCAGCAATGGCTGAGAGGTTTGCGCCACCTGGCCTCTCCATTAGGCGCTCATTGCCCCCAACCATTGGCAATGCCATGCTGTGATGCCACCCATGACCCCGACCGCCCTGGCAAAAACCACCTGCTGTGCCAGCCAGGCCCTCAGCAGCCGACATGAAGTAACCCCCCACAGCCTTAGGCCACAACCACCAAGCCCACTACCAAGCGGTGTTTCTTCGCAGCAGCCCGATACTTGGGCACTCATAACCTGTGTATGACCTTATACCTGGTCATTATAATCTGCCCACCCGCACTGGCGAGTACAGCCATTCGTCAGGCTGCCCCTACCAACGCGACGCGCTGGCCTTAAGGGCTACCAGCTTCTCACAAAAGGAATACTCCTTAATTAGGGGATATTGGAGTCTCTGGGTTGGGATGCGATGTACGGGGTTTCCGGGGGCTTTGCGTTTGAATTTTTTGGTGCCTGGGATTTCGGACTGGGGGTATTTAAGAATTAGGTTTCGGACTTGCAGTGGGCTTAGGGTTTCAGGCGGGTCTTGGAGTATGGTTTGGGTGTATATGATAAAACAGTTAAGGGGAACCTTAAGGGACGCTATTTCTACTTGTTCAGCCCTCTATCTTGGAATAGAACCGTCAACAAAAGCTCATAGAACCCTCAACAGAAGCCTTAGAGCCCCTTTACAGAACCGCAGAAGGTCTCTCTGCCTGGCCGATCTCTTCCAGCACCGCCCGCACGGCCGCAACGCGGGCATCGGCTGCGGCCGCTGAGGTGATAACGGCCACGGATCCCACAGCCTCGAATAGAAAGGCCGGTGATATATAGAGGCCTTAGTCTTTCGTTGTTAAGGTTTTGGAGCTTCCTTTACGATAAGAACGGTACTAGTAGTAATCATCATGGTCATCATCAGCATCATCATCATCATGATAATAGTAACAACAATACTTTCACAATCGCAGTGGTAATACAGTGATCAGAAGAAGAACCAGAACAATGAGGAACCCTCGGGAATAGTATTGTTTAGTACTTCGGCCTTCAATTTGGGGTCTATACTTGGGTTCCTTACTTTCTCGATCACCCCTACCTTGCACCATTGCTACTATAATCCCTATGTGAGCGACGAAAATTCAACATCTATTCTCAATCCAAAAACTTCTGAACAACCCAGTGTAGTGACCCAGCAAGCGTATGCCTCCACCTGGAGTCGACCTAGAGTGTGAGCACACCAAATCCGAAGATATGTCGCAACATCTCAGCTGCACAAACCCCAAAAAACTCTGGAAAAACAAGGCTCACTCCCCGAAAACAAACCGCCCAAAACGATTGAAAATCTTAGACCCATGAACCTCAATCCGCCCAAAAAAGCACACGCCTAGAAAACGCCTCAGAACCAACAGGAAAAAAACGAAACACACTGCCGGTCGCCTGCGGCACCGGTGCTCCTGGCGCAGCTCCGGAGCGCATCTCCGGTGCCACCTCCGGGGCGCCGGGGACCTCCGCTGTGTCCAGCGCTTCAGGGCTCAATTCTTGCCTTGGTTCGTAGGGAATGGAGGGGGCCTTATGAAGGGGTTTATAAGGGCTAGTATAAGGGATCTATAAGAGTTCTATGATATGTGGCCGTAATAGTCCTATAGCTTACCTTTGGTTAGTAGGGAGTGCAGGAATGGGGTAGAATTATAAATGCTATTGCTACCATTCTTCCATTCCCTACTAACCAAAGGTAAGAATTCAGGGCTTAGACTAGGAGGGTTCAGGTTATGGGTCGTGGATAGAAGGTTGAAGGTTTCAGGGCTAGTGGCTTGGGCACCGTTTAGGGTCCTCGGGTTCTGCAAGGATTGTGAACGTTTGGGTTTGGGCTGTCTGTAAGGGTTTCATGAGCTTTCAAAGGATTCGTCAGTGTTATGTGGTGGCTTCGCAAGGGCTTCGTGAGGCCAAGGCGGCAGGATTTTTTCGGTCATACGGAATCACAAGATGTTCATGAAGGGTTTTGAAACGGGATTCATGAAGCGTCTAGAAAGGTCTCATGCCATTGGAAGAGGATTCTATGCGAAATTCATTATGAAGTCTTGGTTCAGAGTTTCGGGCTCCGGAGCTCGATAGCTTTAGGCCTTGTTAAGGTTTGGGGCTTCAGGGCTTTTTTTTTATACGCGCTGACCTAAGAACTCCCAAGTCTGCCTTTACAGGCACGCGTAGGGTGAGACAAAAGTGTTCTTGTAGTCCATCTTGTTGTTTTCATAGTTCGTCGCGCAACCACGGTTCACAGGCAGGTAGGAGAAGACATAGAACGAAGTGACACCCTCATCAACGACAGGACTCGTGACGGTACCAGGGAGGTTCATGTGCAGACACGTATGCGGAGGCGCTCGTTGTTCGTCAGGGTATTCATCGAGACAATCGGGTACTTTGGCAGGAGGATCACGTAGCACCGCTGGACAATCATGTTGTACTTGTAGAGGACGAACATGTAACTCCGCTGGACAACGATGCACTTGTAGAGGCTCTCGTGGTTCAGCAGGGCACTGAGCAGGGCAATCTTGCTCCAGTCCAGTTCTGTTACCATGGCATTCACACCATTTGGCTGGACAACCATGTTGTACTCGAGGCACTGGTGGCTCAGCAGGGCATTGAACGTCTTGGCCTTCTTGTACAACGACAAGACCATGGCATACTAGAGGAGGATCACATAGTTCAGCAGGGTCAGGTACAGGAGGACGAGCAGGTAATCCGCGATTTTAGGGCCTAGGGCTTAGGGTGTAGGGTTCCCATAGTTGACAGATATGCCCAACCGTCTCAACCCATCATCGTCCGATCACCGTAGCGGCTTTGCTCAATGACGGCAGCGGCACTGCTTTAAGCGGGATCGCCAAATGTCTGCACGTCCACCACAGACATGCCTGTGAGGCTGCATGGACGCTGGCAGCGTCTCCGGATCGCTGACACGTCGAGACCGCGGCTCCTTCTGGCCATGCTCTTTGATTCCAGCGTGGTTGCTAAACGGGTTGATGAGAAGGGGCTGTATAGCCGTTTTAAGAGTTGACGGAGCTTAAAAGCCTTAGAGCACTACAAGGCTCCTTCATGATACGGGTTTCTTAAGTCATCATGGGGTTTTGCAAGAGTTGTCGCAAGGGCTTGATAGAGATCTGGTATGGGGTTTATAAGGATTCTGCGAACACTTAACCTGGGTCATACACTGCTTTGGAACTGGGCTGCGCAAAGGCTTAGGGTGTACAGTTTACTGGGCTTTGAAGTAGCCATGGAGAAAAATTATAAACGTGCATGTCATACTGGTTCCTTCAAGGAACACGCACCAAAAAGTATTCAAGTATGGTACTCCAGAACACAGTTTAGACCCTCCGGCGAACTCCCCTAAACCCGAAACCCCTATACCCCTAAACTCACGTGTCATGGCATTACTGCCCGGGAAACCAGAGCAACCCTGACCTAGCCTCCTCGTCCTGCAGGCGCATCTGTGCCTGCAGCGGTTTCAGCCCAGGACTCTCGGGGTTCAGAACTTCGGGGTTTGGGCGTTTTGGGCTGCATACGGGAGTTTCCGAAAATGAGGGGTACCTTATTTAGGGGTCCTTATAATAAGGATCCTACTATTTGGGGTACTATATTAGGGTCCCGAATTTTCGGAAACCCCCATATCGATTTGTAGGTTTTCGGGGGTCTTGGTTTGGGGGAAGGGTGTTTAGGGTTTAGGATGCCGGCGGCCATTACCCCAACAGCAGTGCGTGATGGGTGCAGACTTCTTGCCCCCACATCCGAAAGATGCGAATTGAAATCCTGCTCTACTCGGGTCACTTTCTATGCAAGAGAGCCGCAGGCGCATGTCACGTTCTTTACACGACAGAGGCAGATCTACTAGACGGGAACTGGCCACGGCAAACGAGCTGGAAGCGGTAGACTTACCTTTGGTTAGTAGGGATGGAAGAATGGTAGTTATAGTGGCTAACCAAAGCTAAGTAGAAAGCCCACAGAAACCTCCCAAAGCCCACCTGCAGAGCCGTGATGTGCGTTTTCAGCGCCCTGCTCGTGGACTCTGCCTGACGGCGATGGCAACAGAGCCTACCTTACATCACATAACGGATCCCACGGTACATATTTTAAATCACATAAGGGGTCCAACTACAATCTAAGGTATCTTCCTTAATGAAACTGGTCTGAACAAGGTTTATGGTGTAGGGGGCTGTCAATAGCAGGGTTTGGGGCTTTGGGCTTTTCGGTTTTGGGGATTTATGTGGTGGGTTTAGGTAGGTATAAAGTATGTCACGGCAAGATTTTGCCGGAGGGTAGTTGGTGCAAGACTTGGTTTAAGGTCCAGGTGCGATGTTGGCATTCGGATCTTGCGAGGCGAGGCTTGAGAGCGGCATGCTGCCTCCTGACCGAACTTCGGCGCTTCCTTGGAGGTTCATGAGTAGTTAAAGGTGGGGTTGTAAGTAAGTCCCGCAAAATAGGCTATCATTGCAGGCAGCCTACTTATCACTCCACTTATAACTACCCACGAGCCTCCGAGCCTGGAGTCTTCAGAGATCCTCCCAGACCAAGTCCTAGGTCCTAGTAGCACCGAATACCGAAAGTACCACTGCGTTTAGGGTTCAGGGTTTAGAGGAGTCAAGAAACAAGCCCCGCTACACCCTGAATCCTCGGCCTTGAACATCACCCCTACACCCTCAACGGCTGCCCTGCATCTGGCTTTCCAGGAGGGGCGCCATAATAATCACCGATACCTATCCCTAGGGCTCCCGATCATATCTTTTTTTCTAAACCCCAGAACCCTAGTGGTTACGGTTTAGGGTTTAGGGTTTAGTGTAATTATTCAGCCCCTCTATCACCTCAAGGGGTGGAGATCAACATGAGCTCTCGTGTGGACTCGGGAGTTTCACCTGGAGGATTCGGGACTCAGTGCCAAGGGCTTCAACCCGAAACCCTAAGCCCGAAAACCCTAAACCCTGAACACCCGCCGGCTAAACCCTAGCCGGCAACCCTAAACCCCCGAACCCTAAACTCTGAAGTCACTTGGGCCTTATGGCGAAGAGCTTCGGCTGTCCTAAGACTCGAGCGAGGGCCCTACACTCCTGCGCCAGCTGTTGGTGAATAAACAAGCAAGGACTATCCGTCATAAGGACTGTATCAAAAAGGGTTTAGGGTTCGGGCTCCAGCGTGATACCCAAGGTAATGCAGGATGTGGCCGCCAGGCCCAGTACGCAATATAGGGGGCTTAGTAATTAGAATAGGGTTTTGGGGCCCATGATACTATAACTACAATAAGTAACCCCCCAGAATGGTATAGGTAGTTATGAAGGCCCCTATAGCATTCGCAGATGGCCTCGTTGAGGAGGTCCGCTGTACGTCGCAGCAGCTCGCTCATGAAGGATAGGAAGATCCGATGGCCCGTCTGCCACTCAATGATGCAAACCTTGTCATATAGGGGCCGTAAGAAGAATAGGGTTTCGGGGCTCATGATACTATAGTTGTAACAAGGAACCTCTAAAATGGGACAGGCAAGTATTTAGGCCCTATACTAGGGTCGAAGATGAAGCTCTTCAGTGTGCTATAATGTGGTAAGTAATTTTGGAATCGAAATACCAAGACAGAGGTTACAAGGACAAGGGCTTTGAGGTATAAAGTGCTACGGCATGTTTACGACCTCAGTGCCTGCGAATGAAGATTCAATTGCGAAGGCTTGGCTGGGCTCTTGCATCAACGTTGCTGGCTTCGGATTTCGGATTAGGTTTGAGGCTCTCGCAGGTGCAGCCAACGGCTGCTACTGCCACGATGTGGCGTTTTGGTTTCCGTAAACCACCACACCCCCTCCCCCCGAAGCTTAGAACCTCCAGAACTTTTAACTTTCAACGCTGTAACCCTAGGAAACCAAAGCACTGAACACTGGAACCCCAAAACTTGCAAACGTCTGTCATTCTCTTTGCCCTCCAAGTGGCCAGCCACCAAAGCAGAGGTGCGGTGCTTTGCAGCTGAACCTGTCCAGCCAAGTGGCTCAAACTTGAAGAATAACACAACACAACGTGCTATAACGAATCATAGCAATCACACATACTCACAATGATCATGTCTAAAAACCATAAGAATCATCATTTAGGTATTCAAAAATGTGACACCTAGAAACCCTCCATCCTAAATGCCCAGTGCTGAGTGACAGTGTTCAAGCTTCGCAAGGCCCAAACTCGAGGAGTTGCTGGGTTCGTCCTGTTTGGGTTCAGGGTTTCGGGGTTAGGGTTCGGAGCTTGAAGAAAGGGCTTGAGCTTGAGGGCTTGAAGGCTCAGGAATGAATGTTTGGGAGCTTATGAGGTTTTCGGGCCCGGGGGGTTCCAGGTTAGTGTTCAAGGCTTTAGGGTTTTAGGGCTCTCCCCTCAGGGTTTGGGGCTCGGGGGCTGCGGTTGTAGAGGATGTCGGGCTGTTGGGTTTTAAGGATTCAGCCTTGGCGTCCAAAGTCCAGGGGAGGAGGGCTTCTTCATCGGCTTCGGACGGGTCACGGCTGCTGCGAAGTGCTTGCTGCCCAAGCTGTGCATGGAACCCTTGTGCATAATGTAAGTTGTAGTTCAAGAGCTTCCTCCAGTATTTATGGACAGATACCTCTATAAAGCCATAGCCAGGAACTAGAAAGTTATCCCGAACAGTACGCCTAGAGCCTAAACCTAAAGCCCTGCCGTAACCCTAAAACCCTAAACTAAAACCTAATCCCCAAACCTTAAACTAAACCCTAATCCCCACAACCCTAAACCCTGAACCATAAACCCTAAAGGCCAAAAACCGACGGTAGGAGGGGAGGCCTGCTTCGCAAGGCACCCGATTTGGTTGAACTGCTTGGCATCGATGGGAACCCTGAGGCTTCGGCCGTAATAACTTACCCTATGGCTATACTGAACTTAGAACCCTAGCAAAAATTATAATTTTAGCTGTTTCTTAGGGATTATAATAACCAAAGATTAAAAATTATTCCTAAGTACCCCTAAGATGGGTCCATGTACTCATATAGTATATACATTGGCCTTAAAGTACTCCCTACCGAGGTACATTGGGCCCAAAGTATGTGCTATCTAGCTACATGGGCCCTTAAGGTTAGGGTTTTGGACTTACAGTGTGAGGGGGGTTAGGGTTTGGGGTTTAGGGTTCAGGGTTCAGGGTTTTGGGGTTTCGGGTTTAAGGCTTAGGGTTTGGGTTTTAGGCTCAGGGTCTAGGGCTAGGGGTTTAGTGATTAGGGTTGTGTTTTGGTTTAGGGGTTTAGTCTCCAGGGACTTGGGGATTAGGTTTTAGATTTTCGGGCTGAGTTCATAAGCCCAAAAAAGCTTAACCTCTCAGTTCTAGAGCGGTCATATTATCCCGAGAAGTTTGAAGTCTACCCACAAGTCTACCGTTTAGGGTTTTTTGCGGTTTTGGGGCTTGGACATTCGCTTCAAGGCGTTTGGTTTGGCGAACCTTGAGGTCCGAAGGGGGATGCTACCTAACAACCTGCTCACAATCCCCAACTTGACCCCAAACCTTAAAACCTAAACCGTAAACCCTAAGCTTTAGACCCGCGAAGCCCGAAATCATCTCATCGACTCCCCAAACATATACAGGTTATTCCGAAGACACTACGACTACAACGGTGAAGGCCCGGAATCTTCTACCCTGCACCACCCGGATATCCAAACCTAATATACAAGCCAGAATGATTGCGAATTAATACACTTGGCTTCCTATTGAAACAGCAATTATAGTTTAGTAGAATATAATTACACCTAAAAAGACAGAATAGTACGCCGTGGCGGTGTGCGTTTTCGACAGTTTCACTTTATATGTTTTGTTTTGTTTTCTAGTCCTTCAGTATAATTCTTCAACTTGATGTTTCTTGATGTTTCTTGAACATGTCCCTGTTACCGGCACGGCGTGGCAGACTCCAGAAAGAACGTAGTCCAATTGTCAAGGACCCTCTACTGCCCTGGAACCCCAACATCTTAACGGCTTATCCAACGATCTTACCAAAACCTCAAGGCCCATAACATGACAAACTCTAAATCCCGGATACCCCAGACCCTCACACTCTGAACCCAAATCCAAGACTTTACGGTTTCAGAACCAGTGAGTAACTCGCTGCAGGGGCTCTCCGGATTCCCTCTCTTGTCGGCAGTGAGATCCTGGCGAACGATCCGGAGATTGAGTATGTCAGCTTATGAGTGCCTTAATTGGGTCAGAAGTAGTAGGTCAAGTAGAAACAGCTATCACTACCCTATTTATAACCCTAGCTTGTACGTCCCATGATCCTTTAAGTGGAGCTTAGGGTGTATGGGGTTTAGGATGTGAAGCTTCGCGGTTGTCTGGTCTATGGCTCACGGGGCTGTTGGCTGCTGGTGTTTCCGTGCAAACACCCGGCTGGGGTTTCGGAAACAAGACTTGGAGCTTCAGGGAAAAGATTTCAAACGAAGTTTAGGGGTTTTCGGTTTAGGCGCATGGGTCCAGGCTCCGCATTCCTACAGGTCGCATTTGCGGGGTCTTTACTTTGGGGGTCGTACTGCTTAGAATCCCTATTTGGGTCCCCCATCTGCTGGCTTTGAGGTTTACAAGGTGTAGTGCTCGGGATGGACCCCTAAGCAGACCTTGCACCACAAACCCTAAAGGGCTTTCAGCTGAAATCCCGGAAACATTGGTGGAGATCCTCCAAGGAGGTCCGCAGCGTGGTGTCCAGATCTTGGGTATCCAGAAAACAGTGCAGCAGCACGTAGTTGATGTACTGCACCTCGGGTGTAGGACTGGGATTGAGTTTGAGGCCTGGCACATAGTTTAGGGCTTGGCGCTGAGGGAAGGAAGGTGTAGGGTTCGGGGTTTAGGGTTTTGGGCGTTGGACTTCATGTGTAGGGTTCAAGGCTTCGGCTGGCTCTTAGTCGGTTGCAACATCGAGGGCTTTAATGATTAGAACGTGGTTTTAGGGTATACTATACTAGAAGTATGTGTATGTGTACAAACACACACATGCATATGTGTATGTCTATATTTCTATTTGCGAACATATACGAACCTTAAAAGAATGCCATTTCTAGTGACACTACTATCTTCTTGACTGAGCTACACTGTGGTACTGCCAGTTTGGGGAATACAAGGGGGCATAGCTCGGCCTACACCACACAAGGTTAAGATGCCCCCTGCATCTGCAGTATTTTTTTGGTTTGGGGTTACAGCGGTACTATCTGGGAGTTTCCGGAAACAGGGAACCCTAATAAAATAGAATACCCGAAACAGTAATAGTAGGATCCTTATTGTGAGGACTACAACATAAGGTATCCCTATTATCGAAAACTCGGACGGACTCTTCTTGTCAAGTGCGAGGGTCTGAGTAGGGCTCGGCTTCAGGAGAGATCTGAGCATTGTGGCAGAGCTCTGCAGCACCTGAGAGGAGAAGGGCAGAGCTGCTGGGTTTGGGACGTCGGGCTCATGAGGCTTGCTGAAAGTTTAAGGGGCGTAGGGCTAGCTGGGTCAGGGTTGAGGGTTTACGGACTGAGGTGTTGAGGGTTTACCGGGGTTTAGGATGTAGCAGGTGTCTGGGGCTGCTTTGGGCGTTTACTGAGGCCGCGAGGAATTGCAGGCACTTCACATAGTGCTTGCAGCTGCTGAACACACACGAAGATCCTGGATGCGACTTCTCCATTTGGCCAGATCAAACTGCATCACCAAACGTGGCAACCTGGCATCCGGCCGTCAGACACCTCTGTATGGGTGGTTGTCAAAGTTATGGCCCTTTTTGGGTAACCCTTATATTAGGTGCCGTATTATAATAGGGACCCAGAAAGGGACCCTAGTTTTGACACCCATATAATGACAGGGCACAGACGGCAAAGGGGTGCAGAGGCGTGCCGTCCTTGCCCAGCGGCCGCCGCAGGCACAAGGCGATCCACATCGCCCGCCTTTGCTTCTGGATTCACTAAACCCTTAACCCTAAACCCCAAACCCTAAACACCCCAAACCCTAAACACCCCAAACCCTAAACGCCCCCAACCCTGAACCCTGAACCGTCGGGCATTGAGGCTTTGGAAGGTCGGGGTACCCGGGTCAGTGGGGTACCCAAGCCTCCTGGATGTATGAAACCTGTTAGGTCTTGAATGCTCTTTTGAAGCACGTCGGTGAATCAAAAAAAAGGAACTCGAAGGAATGTCATCAGCAATCACTCAACCTTTATGGAACAAGCCCTTATAATCTTCTTATAGTACCCTCACAGGAACCTGAAAGGACAGGGCCCCTATATTCTCTTGCTCTAGCAAGCGGCTGCTCGTCCAGAGCCCACTCCAAGTCGCTTGGCATACCTGGCTACTCGGCTCTCGAGCGTAGAAGGATCATGGGCTTGGGGTTTAGCCCGTATTTTTACGGTAATTAAGCTTTGGGGGGGGGGGGGGGGGGGGGCATACTTAAAGCTTCTCGCTGCTGACCCCGAATTCGCTGCTCCAGCTCCCTCCTCAGCCTTGCTGCAGCTTTGCCAGCTTCTTCTTCCACGTGTTGAGAACGGCGTTCCATGCGGTTTTCTCATGGGCCTCCCTGCCCCGCTTGTCGATCTCCAAGTGCTTGATATAGGGGCCTTAAATATGGTTTTGGGGCCCATTATACTAGAATTGGAATCAGGAATCCCCAAAATAGTACAGGTAAGCATTAAGGCGCCTGTATTGCTTGCCCGACGATCCGGGTCGAAAAAAATCGCTTGCCAGGAGGGCGCAAGACAGTCACCTGCTTGAATCCGGTGCGGACCAGGCACTCGTGCATACCATGGACGTGGGGTGTTCTCGAGGTCGTGACTTGTCAGCAGCACGCCGCAGCCCCAGGAAAGCACCCCCCAGTCTGCACCCATGGTGGCCCCCTCCTTATCAGCTTCTGTGCAAACTTTGGCGTAGTAAGCACGGAGATTCATTCTCCCTGATCGGTTCCCAGCACAGAGCGCGCTTCGTATGGGCAAGCTCACCAACCTTCTCAAAGAATATACCCTGTTTACCGTCGTGGTCGATGACCCTGGTATATGATTCGGTCATTAGAGGCTGCAGCGAACGCTCAGTGTGAAAGGGGCTGTCTGGGACGGCGTGGTATACTTCTTGGAGCATGGTAAAATGCAGGATTACGGACTTGTATAGTAGCTGGTATATACGGTAGCTGTAGCTGCAATCACTGATAACCCCGACGCGGGTACTTATAACCTTACTTACTCAGTCCCTAGAACCTCCAAGTAAGGCTGCGCTCACTGCTCGGCAATGGATCGAAACCCTCAACCCAAATTCAACAAGTTCGTACTGAACTCAATATCCCACATCCGAAAATCTTGGGGTTTAGCGCGTGGGCACCCTACACCCCATAACCCTTCGCCCGAAAACCTCGAAGCAGAGCCTGCCACTCCCGAGCCCCAACACTAACTGCCCTAAGGGCAGACCCAATACAGGGAACTCCAGAAAGTTGGAATATGGATTAATGGTAGGATCCCCTACAATTTACCTTAAAGGGGTTACGATAATCATATTCCAACTTTCTGGCTTTTACTTTAACTAGGTACTTGAGCTTCGGACAGCCGTAATGCTGGTTGTTACTGGCGGGAGCACGTGATTCTTAGGTACTTGACCGAAGCTGCTTCCACATGCAAAGGTCTTACTCAGAAGGAAAGCTACGTCGTGAATATGTTAGGGAAAGGTCCTCTAAACCCTAAACCCTAAACCCTAAACCCTAAAACCCTAAAACCCTAAACCCCTTATGCATGAAAATGCTGGCCGGCATGACACGTCCGGGAGAAAAGCTCCTCGCAGGGGTCCGATGCCAGTGACATCAAACCCTCAATGACTACACTTCTGTATGTATAATACGCTGAAACAAACTTAAGAATAGAAGGGCCTATAAAAATCAGAATAGTATTTGTAACAAGGAACCCTGAGGAATAGCTGCAGTACGTACTCATCAGGCTTCTATATGACTCTGAACCCTACTCGCTTAAAAGATCGTGGCGCATAGCATCTCCAACTTTCAACAAAGTAACTATATAGCTATGATCACTTAAACCCGGATTCTGGCACTTACAACTTATGGTCATACTCACCAAGTCCCCTGATCCTCCGAGCATGAACCCTCGACCAAGAAAAACCCTCAATCGGAAATCCGACCACATCCAAAAATCACAGCCTGCTTTCTCTTCATACCCTGACGCCTGAACCCTAAACCCCTGAACCCCCGGACCCTAAACCCTGAACCCTTGAACCCCTGCTCAGTTCTCCATGGCTCCTCACAGCTCTGGTAGAGCGGATGCCCCTGAAGGCCGAGTTGGCGAACTTCATGCAGGCTTTCCTGCGGGGTTAGGTTTAAGGCTTAGGGTTGAGGGTTTTAGGGTTCAGGGTTTAGGGTTTGGGGTTTCGGCTTTAGGGTTTCGTGGCTAAGGTTTACTTTTTAGGGTTCAGCTAGAGTTCAGGGTTTGGGGTTGAGGGCTTCGGGTGTAAAGGTTTGGAGCAGGTGGGGCAGTAAGACTCTGATATTGGGGCCATATGATCAAACTGAGTCTTTCAAGCAGTGTCGTCATGTTGCCTCTACAAGTTTGACACATGATCCCAGAAAGTTGTTAAGGGCAACCCCGGCCCAAGAGATGTTTCTAGGGCCTTGGGTAATCAGACTGGGTTTGGGGGGGTATATGCATACATACATAGTAGGGACTATAAGAGGATACGTAACTATTGCTACCCGTACATAAAACCTACACTCCTGAAAAAATGCAAAATCCTGAAACGCCTGAAACCGAAAAGAGAAATCTCAACTCCGATATGCGCCAGTGCGCCTGGAGATTCGACAGATTGCCCGTGGAGCTCGCCGTCGTCAGCTTCCTGGGGGGGTTCAATTCTCTGAAAGCCCTAAACCCTTAAACCCTTAAACCATTATAAACCCTAAACTCTAAACCACGAATACCTAAACCCTAACCGTGCGGCCAGAAGTCTAGAACAATCTTGCCAAAGATCTTTGGATCGGCTTACAACCACCGGCCGATGCAACCCTAGCCTACAACCAAACTATAGGGGCCTTAGTGAGTAATTGGAACAGGGTTTTGGGGCCCATTATACTTTCTTTGTCATAAGGAACTCCCAAAATAGTGTTCCTTAAGCCGGAAGAACCTACCCTTTTATGGACTTATATAAGGAAATCATAATAAGGAACCTTAAAAAGGTGGGATATTCCGGCTTAAGGTTGGTCTTTGTTTAGGCCCCCATATCACCGGTGTGGGGGTCCGGCTCTGGGTTTAGAGAAGCTGAGCGTCTCAAGGGCTCCACTCATCGTCGACAGCACACCTGCAGAGCTTTCCTTTACGGGTATAGGTTTAGGGTTTAGGGTTATACTCAAGGGCATTTAAGGTTCCCCTTGATCGCATTTAAGGGTATTTGAGGTCCCCTTAAGGGCATTCAGTAAGGTCGGGTTCGTTTCAGGCTGCTGCCAAGAGTCTTAACGCAAAACGCTGAACCCAAAGCCATGAAGGGTTCGATGGGGCTTTTGGGGTTCACGGGTTCTGCGAGCTGCTCAACCGGCCCACTGCTGCTGCATGAAGCCCACACGATCTTTAGTACATACCCTCAGGAACAACCGATGATTCAGAAACGGGCGCTTGATTCAGAAACTGCGCTTCAGAAACTGCGCTTCAGCAACTGGTCGCGCTTCAGAAACTGGGCCCGAAACTGCGCTTCAGAAACTGCCGCGCTTCAGAAACTGCGCTTCAGAAACTACCGCGCTTCAGAAACTGCTCTTCGGCAACTGCGTAATTTGGGAACAGAGCATCCATGTCCAAAGCCTAATGACGTCCATGGTCTACTGCGATTTGGGAACAGAGCATCCATGTCCAAGCCTAATGACGTCCATGGTCTACTGCGATTTGGGAAAGAGCATCCATGCCCAAAGCCTAATGACGTCCATGGTCTACTGCGATGTGGGAAAAGAGCATCCATGTCCAAAGCCTAATGACGTCCATGGTCTAGTGCGCTTTGGGAAGAGAGCATGCATGTCCAAAGCCTAATGACGTCCATGGTCTACTGCGATTTGGGAACAGAGCATCCATGTCCAAAGCCTATTGACGTGATTGTCGTCCTATCCGACCATGTTGAGCTAGTATGGCCTAAGTGTAAGCGTCTGGTTCCCGGCCATCGTTGCTGAATCAGTCGTTTTGGTTTCCGAATCAAGGTCTAGTTTCCGAATCAGGCTTTCCATTTTCCGAATCAGGTGTTCCGGTTTCCGAATTTTCCGTTTCCAGTTTCTGAATCATGGCTGGTTTCTGGCTGGTTTCTGAATCAGCCGTTCTGGTTACCGAATCAGTCGTTTCAGTTACCGAATTTTCCGCCGACCTTCAGACCCTAAACCCAAACCCTTCCGCCGAAACCAAAAACCCTACATCCCCAACCCCATAATGCTGCATGCTCGCCAGCACCGGTATCATACGACCTATGCTGCGTGAAATATCCGAAACTCAATCCCTCCGATGACTCCGAAACATCCAAAACGAAACCCAAAACGAGGCCGGGCATCCAAAGCACAAGAACATCGCGACCCGATGTTGAGGGGTAGATTCTGCTAGATTTGCAGTAGGGACCGTTTAGGGCATAGGGTTACAAGTTCTATGGGTGGCTGACAAAATTATGGTCCTTTGTGGGTCCCTAATGTAGTACGGCACCCAATAATAAGGGTACCCAAAAAGGGACCCTACTTTTGACAACCACCCATGCATATCGACCCCATGCAAAGGAGAGGCGAAGGCTTTGGGGTTGGGGGGAGATGGGCAGTCCCCAAACATCCGGCGTTTAAGTGTTGGGTGAGCTTTTCGGGCTGAGGAGCTAGCTATACGTTTCCGGGTTTAACAGTGCAGGGCCGTGGGTTTAGGGTTTAGGGTTTAGGGTTTAGGGTTTAGGGTTTAGGGCAGAAGCACACTGTTGAGCGGCTACCGCTTGGACAATGAGGTCCCACCTTCAGCCTTCTTCACATCGTCTGTGACGATGTGGTACTGGCTGGCTTCCTCTACACTGCTCTGCAGGTCCTCGTAGTTCCTCGGAGATTTCCATGTCAGGCTGAGGGCACAGGGTTTAAGGTTCACAAGCGGGTAGTTTAGAATTTTTGGCAGCTTTCGATGGCCTAGCTTGCTCCTGCAGCTCATAATCATAAGACCAACCTGAACCACCTCAAGCCTGGACCCAAAACTGGCGGATTCCTTCTCCCAGAGCTGTATTGAATATGTCGAGCTGCAGCGTTCTGAGCGCCGCTGACACTCGTTTGGCCACAGCATCCAGCGTTCGATGGACCTGTGGTGGAGGATCCGAATCTCAGGAGTAAGCCAGTACGGTCTACGGTTGTAACCCAGGTGAAGAAACCATGAATATGGTAGGGTTTCGGGTTCCAAAAAGAAGCAGCATCACCACCAACAGCAAAGAGTGGATCAAGAGATTGTTGGTACCTGTCACTCTCGGCAGTCACAAGGAATCTGCCAAGCAGAGCTGGCCGCAAGCCCCACGGTGCAGCCAAGAGGCATCCTTGGCCTGTGATAGCACCTGAGCCAAAGCAACCCAAGCGCACGTGCTTCCTGTGATCTTTCTACTTCGATGAATGAATACTTAAGCCCCAGACCCTGAACCCGAAACCCTAAACCTTTAAACCCTAAACCCTCAAACCCTAAACCCTGAACCCCAAACTCCGAAACTATAGTCAGGAGTCAAAACAGCCAGGCTGCCCTTGTGGGATTTAAACGTTGAGGGACTGAAATTCAATTCCAACACCCTCAAGGCAAACCACTCAAAAGACAGTCAAACCCCTTCTGACTTTCAAAAGCCGCAAGACCAGCAAATCCAGATTCCTCAATAGCTCAACCCCTGGACCGAACTGAACCCTCGAACATCCTCGAACAGGCTCCTCGGTACCTGAAAACCCTACACCCCAAGCCGCAGCAACCCAGAGAGAAGTCCGAACAACCTGAGGGGCTAATCGAGAAGTCTGAATCATCAGTGTCTTGATCCACCCAGCAACACGGATGGGCCATACCACACTCTACTTCAAGACCCAAGTCTAACCTTTAAGCCTCCTTGGCCCTCTAAACCCTACATAAACCCATCAGAACCCAACTCTCAAACTTTTGGAAACATCATCAAAACCGAAAACACGCAAAGAAATACCTACCAAAAATCCCTCAAACACACAAAAACACCCATCGATCCCGAAAAACACCCCAAGCCCCTAAGCCAGCCCCAGGCGCATCGGCGATCTCCCGGACCTCCTCCGGACGCCGAGCTTCAGCTTCGGAGATCGCCTCGGACTACTCGGCTCCCTAAGGGTGGGGTTAGGGTTTAGTTTTTTTTTTGAGCCCCTTTTTCACCCAGCAATCCAGTCTGCTCGACAAAGGCCACAGAGGCCAGGGGACAGGTGAACACCAAGTAGGGTTTAGGTTTAGGGTTTGGGGTTTTGGGGCTTTCGGTTTGGGGCTTTGGGGATTTAGGGTTTGGGGTTTGGGGTTTAGGAGCTTTTGACTGAAGCTTTGGGGTGTCAGGTTGAATTGGTTGTTTGGGGTTTAAGCGTCTAGAATTTAGAGTTTAGGGTCGGCAGGACTTTAGGGGCTTACTCTCTTGGGCGGCTTTGGGGGCGTACTTCGGCTGCTTTGGGTGCAGGCATGATACGGGTAATGAAGCTAGGGCTTTTGCCAAGATCAACCTCCAGGGGATTTTCAAGCGCCCGATTCGTTGTAGCAGGGGCTGCTTGAAACTGTGGGATCTCCATAAAATATGGGAAAAGGACCAGGATCTTAACCCAACAAAGCACACCCAACACCCCACACAAACCCACAGAATCCAATCCCAACACGCCCTAATCCCAGAACCCTAAACCCAACACCCGAGAATCCCAAAACGATAGCCTAGCCATATTGCCCTGTGCCGACGTGCAGCACGCTTGAGGGAGTCGTAGTCACCTCGAATTGCAGGAAGTTTCCGGCACATGTGTTCCTGCCTTAGAAATCTAACGACTCAGGGTTCAGAATTGGGCTGTAAGCTTGGAGCTTACACTTTAGTGCTCAGTGTTTGAGGGAATATGATGGGTCTCGGGGAATCCATTATCAGGGCCTGAATTCTCAGAATAGGGTTTTGGGTGTGGTATACTATACTTATTTTAAAGTATCGTACAACAAATAAGTCATGGTCCCAAACCCTAGAACCCTGACAACCCTGAACCCTTGAACCCTTCTTAAAGGCGCAGGCGCGTGAGCGGATGGCCGAAACGAGGGCGCCAGTTTTGGAGCTTTGAAGCTTCCGCTGCGCCTTTCCCGCGTTAAGAAGGCAACGGCGTAAGGTTTGGTTTAGGGTTTAAAGGATCTATACATATAGAGGTCGTTGAAAGGGTTCTTGTCAGGGCTCTGGGCTTCAGGGTCAGGGCTTAAGGGTCTTGGTCTAAGGGCTGAAAGCTTAGAGTGTAAGGTTTAGAGTCAAAGAATTTGCATAGATCATGGAAACCAGAAGTTGGAGTGTTTGACACTGAGACTTAAGATTTAGACCAGCGTTTCGGGGGCTGGAGGCTCTCGGCCTCGTCGACCTTGGACGTCTTCAGCCCGTTTCGGCTCGCCTCAGCAGGGTAGTCGAGTCGAGGCTCTTTGCCTAAGAGGGCTTTGGGGCTACGGAGCTTTGGGGTTTAGGGTGTGGGGTTTAGGACTATAGGGCTTAGGGTTTAAGGTTTAGGGTTTGGGGGTTAGGGTTTAGCAGCCGTTTGAGGTTTGGGGTTTTGCAGTTTATGGCTTAGGGCTTGGGGTCCAGGTCTAGGCCTTTGGAAAATCGAAATCTCGAAACCCCAAGCCCTAAACCCGCCGAAGCCCACCAAACCCGAAACCCTTTTGTTTCCCTAAGCTTCACAGCAAAACCACGAAGGCCCGGAGCATTTCCCAAAACGCACGCTCCGCCGCCAGGCCTCTTCAAGCGCCGAAGTGAGGTGCACCCTGCAGAAGGCACGGGAATCAGGGTCGGGAGACTCTGGCATGAGCTTCGCGGCTTCGGCCGTTCAGGGTTGCGGATTGAGAGCCCTCAGGCTCGGAGGCTTCATGGCCTCAGAGTTTGAGATCTGGTGCTTCGGGTTGAGGCCCCAAGAGCATGGGGCTAAAGGCTTTAAGGCCTAAAACCCTGAACCCCAAAAAACCATGGAATTCTTCAGCTGCCAAAGGGTTTTGGGGCATAAACTAAGAGGAGGAGTGACCGAATATTCAGACCTCTATTTGCAATCCAACCCCAAAGCCTAAAACCCCCCAAACCCCATTCAGATCCCTCAGGCGACTGGCCTGTCGCCGGCCTCGATAGCGCTGTGAAGCTGTCGCCTGAGCTCCCGATGGTCCGAATCGGTATGGCTTTCGTGGAGTTCAGCGTTTAGGGCGGGTTCAGGCAAGTTTAGGGTTTAGGGCAGTTTAAGGCAAGTTTAGGGTTTAGGGCCGGGTTTAAGGCAAGCCAAGGGCCCAGGGCTCAAGGGGTTGCTTGAAGTTTGGTTTTTAGGGCTTAGGAAAGGTGTGGGCTGCGGCAAAGGGCTCGGGCGGGCATAGGCTTAAAGATTAGGGCTTTGGGGTTGATAGCTCCCCGACAACTGATTTTCCTGGACATCCGCAGAAACCGACACATACAGGGGCCATAATAATTCCGTGGAATAGCTCTGAATACAACGAGGAAGAAGGAACAATATTAACAAGTATTTGGGACCCTATTATATTATGCTGATGCACTTCACAGTCACATCGCTCCTTAAGGAACCAGCTTTCCGGTCGTACTCCGACACTGTCAGAAAGCACCCTCAGAAGATTTGGGAGTTCATAGACAGCCCCCACATCATCGTACATTAAACTATAGTACATTATAGTTCCCTGAAACCTGCAAAGATCCTTCACCTTCGGCCACTTGGTCCATGCCATGTCAAACCCGTGTCACTTTGAAGCCCGAGCTGCTCCGCCGTGCGCAGCTCGCGCAAGCGGGACTGGCGGAGAAGAACTTCCATGCGAACAGAGTTGGATGTAAAGCCCTAAACCCCTAAACGGAGTCTCCCGTCACTATACAGAAGGGCACAACAAGGTGTTTGTAGCGTTTTGTGGGTGTTTTCAGGGAATAGAGACTACAAAGGGGAACTGTCTTGCTTTAAGCCTCGAAGCGCTGCTACCGTAAAGCTTTTCCGTGGAAATCCGAAACGTCAGCCCAAAACCCCCGAGCACCAAACTAAAGCCCAAAGCCCCTAAAGCCCCTCATATACTACCTGGTTCAGCTCCTACTTACTTAACCTTGATGAACGACCTTCAGCCCCTCATAGAACCCCCAACTCCTGAATGTTCGTCCTGCCAGGTCAGCACCTGCCTGCGCCTGTAAGAGGTGCTCGTCCTCTATGCCACATCCCTCGGCCTTTCTCAGGGCTTTGCTTTCGTGAGTGCAAGGTTTAAGATTGAACTATTCTGTAGGGTCCCATGGGCTTAGGGTTTGGGCTCTTTAGGGTTTCGGGACCGGCCCAATCACACCCGAAAGCCTGGATCCTAAATCTTCGTAGAAACACGAATCTCCCTACCAGTGAAAACCAACAAGCGTCGTGCTATGTACCACCCGACAAACACCGTTGCGTCTTCACTGGTCTGCTTAGCGTTGAGTTTGGTCGCTGATCGAAGAACTCCATCCCGCAATCACCAAATCATAAGCGCTCGAAAAGCAAAGTTCCCGGTCACCCTAAACCCTAGACCCTAGGCCTAAACCCTAAACCTCAAACCCCTACACCCCTCGAACCCTAAACCGCAAATGCCAAACCCACCTCCCGCAAGGCAGACTCCAAATGCTCCGGATCACCATGGCCGTGGGAGATCTTCAGCCTCGGTTGAAAGTGATAACTCAAACCCGCGGGCTTCAGGATTTGGGGCTTCGGGTTTGGGGTTTAGGATTTGGGGCTTTGGGCTTAGGGTTTCGGGTTTTGGAGCTTAGGGTTTTGGGCTTGGAGCTTTGGGATTAGAGTTTAGGGTTTTGGGTTTAGGGTTTGGGGTTTTGGGCTTAGGGCTTAGGGTTTTGTGCTTTGGGTTTGGGGTTTTGGGCTTAAAGTTCGGGATTTAGGGCCCATTCGACTGCGTCGCGATCAGAATACGGTGTTGTGGTGCACTACGGTACGCTCAACACTCCCGACAACTTGAACAACGGAACCCGAAACCCCAAATCCCCCAAACCCCCACGCCGTAAGCCCAAAGCCCTAAACCGTCAACCCATCTTACCCCTAAGCCATTAACCCAAAACCCTACTAAACCCTAAACCGTAACCGTGAACCCTTAAGCTCCTGGCTTCTCCTTGGCATCGACCTGGTCGGGGTTTCGTAGTTAAGCATTCGAGCTTCAAAGCATGTGAAGATATTCTTAAGTAAGCTACTCTCAATACCAAATAAGACATATGGAATGCCCCAATTCGGGGCCTAGGATTTTGGCTTTCGGGGTTCGGGGTCCAATGCATGGGGTTTCCGGGTTGAAATATTGCAAATCAAGCGTTTAGGCTTCTATAGGGGATGAAAGCTGAAAGCAAACACTCACAGAGTCGCACAGTCATGGGCACACAGGCTCCAAGTAGAACTGGGTCCAGAATCCGGCACCAAAGGATGGAACAGCTCCTTAACCCCACGTCCGTTCACCCGTGCTCCCCACAGCGCTTTCACGACACTGCTGCTACCCAGATGAGTTCATACCCCGCATCCCAAACTCCTAAGCTCAGACCCCCTAATCCACTGCGCCCGCCCACGCTCTTGGCGCCTGCTTCTTGTGACGGCCGAACTCCTCCTGCACCCACCACATGTTGTGCAAGAGCTTTAGATTGTCGGTTTTAGGGTGTAGGGTTTAGGGTTTTAGTCGTGGCATGACCTATCCCCCTGAAGCTGACAGCTAAGAGGCGAAGCAGGGAGCAGCGCCACACCCTATAGGAACGGCAAGGTTAAGAAATTGCCGCCTTCCTCTGTCTCGGTTTGTGGCACGGCGCAAGCGACCGGCAACATGAATGTCAGGATAGCTCTTCCAGGTTAACACAGCTGCCATTTTCTCATCAGCCTCGCGTCACAAGAGCATCACCCTCTTCTCTGGGGTGCGTCTATATAAGTACCGTCTCCACGCCACTACATGCAGGTGCTTGTGCCTTCTCAAAGACTAAGAAGGCAGCCGAATACGGCTTGAGGGTCACTCCACCGGATCCGCCCCCTTGCTTGGGGAGAAAGGCAGGGACCGTCCCATCCTCGTGCGCTTTCATCACCTCTGTCTGGTTCTTCGGAGGGAATGGGGAATGAGTTATTGAAACTACTATAAGGGACCTTAAACGACTACCATAAGGGACCTTGAGGGACTACTATAAGGGACCTTAAGGGACTATCCTAGAAGGGACCTTAAGGGACTACCATAAAGGACCTTAAGGGACTATCCTATAAGGGACCTTAAGGGACTACTATAAGGGAACTTAAGGGACTATCATAGGGATCCATTCCCCTACTAAGAACCAGACAGACCTTCCCGTTCACGGCGATGTCTGTAGTCGTAAGGTTCATGCCGGCTGCTGGCGGCATCCTGGGCTTGTCTTGCTCAGGAACATCGCAATCGTTTCCAGAAGCAAGGAAGGCCGAATTCCCAGTCTTTACTACACATCCTGAGTTATGGTAATTTTTGGTTTGAGTACGACTTAAGATCCTCCTCCACATGAGCCCAGCATCGTGAGGTGGTATTCGGTCCAAGAATTTGGAGGTCCTGCTTCAAAGCTCACGGACGATAGCAGCACCGTGACCGTGCTCGGCTTCGGCGAAACGTTCAAAATCATCACAGTTATGGCACCAGCAAGAGTCGGGTGGCAGTGCGCATAGCTCCTCACGTAGCCGCCCAGCTCCCCGGCCTCTAGCACTCTGGCACCCATGAAACGCTTGTATGCCAAGTATGCCCAGTATGACGGGTTGGGTGTCAACCCCTCAGCTGCAGAGATGACCGAATACCCTCCGCTGCCGAACAGCCCCTGCCGCACCACGCCGGTGTATCCCAGCCTCGACAGGGTGGCAACTTGGTCCAGGTCAGTGAAAATAGCTGCAAAGCGGTCCGAGGCATTGGGGACACCGCCACCCCAGGCGCTGGCGCTCTCCCCGACCCAGAGCATGCTTCGCGGAGTGTACTTGTCTCGCATTGCCACAGTCAAGTTTGCCAAGGACTGGAGGGAGTCCAGTGTCCGTGGGTCGACAAATTTAGATACTGGGGACTGGTTGTCAAAGTAATAGTGGTGCCAGGTCAGAACGTCTGGCTCCCACTTGGCAGCTGCTGCAGCGGCAGTGAAGTTCTCCAGATAATTACAGCAGTGAGCTGCATCAGGTCCTATAACCAGGGGGCGATGGTCGCTGCCAACTCCTGCTAAGGCATATGTGTACTGAAGCAGCTGAGAGAGCATGAGGTCATCCTGCACGTGTTCCTTCACGGATACCGAGCACTTAGGGTTGCTCGGATCGGGGCAATGTGGATCTGGCTCATTTCCCAGCTCGTATCCAAAAGGCCGGTCGTGCTCCAAGTGATACTGCAGTACCTCCGGGCTCTTCGTAAGGATCTTTACCTCCGGGCTCTTCGTAAGGATCGCAGTTCCCGCTACCGCAGCAGTAGGGATACGTCGTAAATCCTAGCATCGTTGTTCTGGCGACTTCGGTTCTTAAGCCCTCAAACCTCTATAACACTGCCTTCAAGCCTTACGAAATCCTTTCAAAAACCTTTTTAACGTAATCTAAAATCCATCGCAAGATGACACAGATGACGCGGGACCTGGGCCAGCTGAGCCAAGTTGACAGGCCCGGGAACTGACGTTGCACTCTCCGGACGCCTTAGTGGTCCAGTTTAAAGACAACACCGTTTAGGGTTTAGGGTTTAGGGTTTAAAGACAACACCAAGCTCTGGAAGGTAGAACTCCTAATTTGAGACCCGAAACTACAAAGGGCACTTCGTGGGAACTCCCATCAGGGATCTATTTGTGGATGCTCCGAGGGGTATGGGTATAGGTACCCGTATACATGTTGTCTCCATGGAAAACAGAATTCCTGTTCCATCTTTTCTCAGAGAAATACTAGATACCCTAATATCATCATGCGGGCTTCGCAACGAAGGGTCACAATCTAGAGGCCCCTGAAGTAAGGATCTTGCTGTTTGGAGTCTAAATTTTCTACAGCTCGCCTATTGCTGCCTAGAGTTCCTCTGTTGGGGAACTGGCCGGACGTATATATTCCTTCTAAAGAACCCTAAGTATAGGAAATGACCATGTGTGTTAACATGACTGAAGAAAACTAAGCCCGGCGCCTCATGTAGCTCAGTCCCCATACGATAAGCCAGCCTGTTGCATTCGCGAACCTGAAGACCTTATCAATGTCGGAAGGGCCGAAGGTACCCTCTTGCGGCTTAACGCCGAAGTCATAGGTCACCTCATCTTGGCTGGACCCTCCGACTCTCAAAATGGAGGGGCCGAGTGCTTTGCAAAGGTTCACCAGCCGGCTGTCGTCCAGATAGCCATGCTTCACGCCACCCCCGAATTCGATGGACCAGGCAGCATGGCCCTCGAGGGTCGTGTGCACTGGCGCATCCGTGCCGACCTAGGCTTAACTTCTCATGGGACTTAGTAACTCGGCTTATAAACGAGGTATAGTTATAGTGTACTTCCCACCCAATCAAGGCTTAACACAAGCACTGCTACCCTTATTAGCCGAGTCTTACGTCCGAACGAATACAAGCGGCCACCACACACGTTGCCTCGTATGCAGGGAGGCCGGCAATCAAAAGCAGGAAGCCAACCAGTTGCCCATGGCTGCCGTCGGACATTCTCAAGCACGGATTGTCGGCAGGACTTTAGTAGAATCAGTCACAGTACCCCTTGTTGAAATGCCCCTAAGTTGGTTCATGACGACATCGCAGTGTTGTCCGACGGAAGAATGATGCAGGCTCATGTCGAGAGACACATTCTCAGGTTTCCGAGCTGAGAACTTGCCACGAAGGTCGGGCCTAGCTCCAAGAACCGCTTGAAACAAAGGATCTCATAGTGGGTAGTTGTAGGTGGGATATTAGGTCCGCTAATACGGGTTATAATTATGGATACCCTGCTTATACCCCGACTAGCTACCCATGAACCTCCAAGTAGGCCCGATGTAACTTGAGCTTTTAGCTGACATCAACACGCAGAAAGATCCTAAGCCGCAATCTCGATCCTGTACTGCCCGTGCTCGCTTGTTGGCAGTCACATGGTCGCAGTACAGGTGACGGCGTTTGACGCCCTAAGACCTGAACCCCAAACGACCTGAACTCTAAACTCTCGATCCTATGCTACACACCCTGGTTGAGGACATATACATCAAGATATACACATATGTGTATATATGTATATGTAAGTAAATATATTTAATTAGTAAATATGAGTATGTATGTCTGTATGTAAATATATATATATATATATATGTATATATATATATACATACATATACATATATATATATATATGCGGCAAGCCAATCCCTGGGTCCTGAAACTTCGCTTCCACCTGCTTGACCCGCTGCGCAGCCCGGCTGCACTCTTCCGGGCAGGCGGGCTGACATGCGTCCTTCTCGGCTGTTCGGGTTCAGGGTTTCGGGTTTCGGGTTTAGGGTTTTAGGGTTTAGGGTATAAGGGTTCAGGGTTTCGGGTTCGTTTTAGGCAGTATTTAGGGGCTTTTCGGGTTTAGGGTTTACGGTTTTGGGCTTTGGGATTTCGGCTTCGGGTGCTTTGGGCCCGGGGCTTCTTGCAATTCCGTCTCAGGGTGCAGGGGTCATAGGGTGTGGGGTGGGTTTAGGGGAGAAGCACAATCGAAGCTCTTGCAATCCGCACGCAACAATACTTAAACTTGATTTTGGTTAGTAGGGAATGGAGGAATGGGGTACAATTATAACTACTATTCCTACCATTCTTCCATTCCCTACTAACCAAAGGTAAGTAAATTGTTGAATAGTTACCAACTCAGCCCTGAATCCACGAAGCCCAAAGCCCTAAAGCCTAAACCCTTAACGCCCTACACCTCAAGCCCCGAACCCCCAAACCCTACGCACCCCACACCTTAAAGCTCTCCACACGAAAGCCTGATGTCGTGTCCTACCACACGGTTTTTGTAATTGGAATAGCGACGGCTTGTCGTGTTCGTAGGCAGGGAGCCTCCATGCGCCGTAGGACGCGCTGAGCCTTGCCGGAGGCTACGAAGGGAATGGGCTTCAGTAGGGTTGAGGGAGGCTTTGGCCCGGAGGGTTCAAGTGCTTTCAGGGGTTAGGTTTCTGCCTTAGGGTTCCAATACTTTCATGGGGGGTTGCCGCTTTGGGGTTTAAGGCCATAGGCTTGGGGCCTTGATCGTTTAGCCTTTATGGCTTTCAGTGTTTAGGAAAGCTTCGTACAAGTACCCAAAGAAAGAGAAGGACTTTAGGCACCAAAAAAATTTCAGGGCATGGGATCAGGGACCTCACACCCCACTATTTACTTGTGTACATGGACCCTTCCGGATTAGGGTTCTAATGGGAACCCTTAACCCTGACCCCTTAGCCCCAAACTCCCAACTCTGAACCACCTAAACTCCCAGCCTTAGACCCCAAACCCCATGAACTCCCAACTCTAAACCCTGCATCCTAAACCTCGGATGTAAGGGCCTTGAATCGCCCAGAGAGCCCAATACCCCTTAATTAAGGAATATACCTTAAATTATAAGGGGGCGCATAATCTGATTTAAGCTATATTCCTCAATTAAGGGGTATTGGGCTCTCTGGGCGAATCCAAGCCATGACCTAGGCCCTCCTCGAACCACCGAAACAGACCTTCGCGTAGGATTCCCGATGATTACACTGTAAATCAAAGAGATAATGGGGTACCCTTTTTTCAAGGCAAAAGGGTACTACTGGGGAACCTAGTTATAAGAACCTACGGAAAAAAGTAGGTTGTGGCAGAACTTAAACTCACTTCTCCCGTGCCTCTTCAACAGACTCTCCAGCTGCACCGCTTTGGATGCCACCCGGCTTCCCGGCGCGATCAAGATGCTCCTCTTGAGTTGATACACAGATGATCAGAGGCTTATATAAGATGCAGGATTTAAGGTTGAGATTATATAAGATGTAGGGTTTAAGGTTGAGATTACATTAAGATGTAGGATGTAAGGTTTAGAGGGTTTTGAAGGCTTGGGATATCATGTTAAGGCTTAGAGCGCAAGCCTCGGAAGTGGGGCTTTGGCTCGGCTCTGGGGCTTCTTAGCAGCTTGTTTTAAGTTGCCATAGTAGGGAAGGTATCGTTAGCTATTTATGCCATATCCCTATTTGGGGAATGTAAATTAAGCAAATCTACGGGATTCAGGTTTCAATGTTTGTGCGGTTTGTTGTGCAGGATCGAACAAAGAGAGATGGGATGCTCCCAGCCGGAACAGAAAATGCCAAAACCTCAACAAGGAATCCACAATCTGAAGCTGGTCAATCCTGTGCAGGGCCTCCGCAGGATAAAACTTGGAAAAGCCTTCTTGAAGCTCTGTGAAGCATAAGAGCATATTCTGAATCAACCGACCAAAACCCTAAACCCTGAATGGCAGCGAAAGCAAGAGCCCGATCTCTTTGCAAGCCGTCAGCAAACCGAAAATTCCACAGCCCAAACCCAAAACAAACCTCAAGCCCGAAATATAGCACCATTCCAAACCTTCTAATACCACTTAAGCCTAGACCTTCTAATACAGTGAAATTCAGCGTACCTCTATAGAACCTCAACAAAAAAACCTATAGCTGACACACAGGATCGCCTCAAGCTCTTGCTGGAGCAAGGTCTGCAGCTGCCTTACTTGGAGGGTCAGAGAACTTAGGGTTTCGGGTTTAGGGAATTAGGGGTTTACGGGTTTAGGGGATTAGGGGTTTAGGGTTTAGGGTTTGGGGTATAGGGTTTGGGGTTTAGGGTTTAGGGTATGAGCGTCTAAAGGGGGCAGCAAGGAAGGGTGTGCGGCTCCCTAACCCTGAATCCCTGGACCTTACATCCCAAACGCTCAAGTCCCGCACCGTGAGGTCCAGAAACTCGTGAGATGCATATGCTCCTGCGCCGCCAAACCCCTACGTCCTATGCTTAACCTGCATCCCAATCACCCCCTTAAACCCTAACCCCTGAGCCCCTGAACAAACCCCTAAACCCTCAAACCCTGAACCCCCAAAGCACCTAAACCTTAAAATTAGACATTTAAGGTTCAGCCAGAAAGTCAGAAGTCGAGCTGCTTCTGCGCTGAGTCCACCAGGGGGGCCGAGAGCGCCGCCCGGTGGAGAGCGCCGCTTTGTGTCTTCAAGGCCACGTCCTTTCAGGGTTGATGGTTTAAGGGTTTAAGGGTTTGAGAGTTTAGGGTTTCAGGCTATTGGAGCTCTTCGCGATTGTTCCTGGGGTGGTTCAGGGTTGGAGGTTTTCCGTTCAAGGCTGTTCGGGTCTTCAAGGCCACGTTGTTGGGCGGGTGTGGGGGCTATGTAAGGCTATTGATTGTCTGCACGCTTATACCCGGAAGTCTATTCAGAGTTGGTTGTTTATGGCTATGTTAGGCTCGTTGGCAATATTTGGGGCTACTTGTTTTTGTTGTTCAGTTCGGCTTTTAAGGTTTCTGGCTTGCACAAGCACTTCAAAATATCTTAGAAATATGACACCAACGAGAATGCAATAATTTCGCAGAAGCCCCAGTAAAATCACCCTTCCCCCGAACACCAAGTGCAGCAGGGTTTGGGCGGCAGGGTACATGACTGAAGGACCCCCCCATAATGACACTCCGGACATGCACTCAAAACATGTTCCTAAGCGGCCCAAAATACACTCACCAATATCCTTGATACAAACAAGCAACCCCGATGCAAGGGTCTGAATCGGAATAACTGCTGGTCTGATGTTTCAGGCCTTACATTGGTTCCCCGCGTATTCAAACCTTCAACCCGAAACTCCTAGCTGCTCCCGACGCCCTAAACCCTGAACCCTCAACCCTAAAACCGAAACCCTCTAAACTCTGAACCCTCAGCCCGAGAAGCCCTAAACCCTATCCACCAGCCATCGCCTGAAGCGCTTGCTCTAGGACTTCGGGGCTCGCGCTGTCCCCCAGCCTTTGTTGCTTTCGTGATGGTGGATTACTTAGGGCATCTGCAGGGTGGTTGTTGAAGTTGAAGGTTTGGAACGTAAGAGCATACAGAATGAAACGATCAGGGTTAGGGTACAGGGTTAGGATTTATGCAGGGGTGCAGGGTTTAGGGTTGAGGGATCAGGGTTGTTTGTTTGGGGTTTCTGCTTTATGTGGAACCCGACAGGAACGTGTCTATCAGCCCAAAACCCTAAACCCTAATTAAATCCCAAACCGTAAACCCCAAACCCAAATCCCCAGAACCGAAAACCTGAACCCTAAATTTTCCAAACCATAAACCTAATCCACAACGCATAAGCCCCGAACCTTCAACCATCTCCCGCAGGAGGTTGTTGTGCTTTGGGGCTTTGGGCTTAAGGGCTTTGCTCACAGGATCACGACACTTAGTCACTAGGGTTGTGCATAAGGTAGCTCCAGTGAAAACTACCCGTAGCCCCAGCCAAGCTACCAACAACCTTGCCTACTACGTCCCCTGATACACTACACCCACACCCGAAAACCCCCAAAATCAATCCTGAAGGCCCACATCCGCAATCCCAAGCACCCCAAACCCCTGCAGAACCGAGCAGAACCATCAACCCTGAAACTCAAAACCCGAAAGCCTGAAGCTAAGTCCTAGATCTGTTTCCTGAGCCCGAAACCCCCAAACCCTCAACGCTGAACCTGAAATTCAACAGTCAGG